AACAACAACTCAATAGAGGGCCAAATCCACAATGAGATGTTCAGAGATGTGTTGGAAGAACCAGGACAGAGCGCCAAATCCATGCCTACATGTGAACCAGAACCTATGGCTTCAATGGAGCTGAACCCTCAGCCCACAAGACACATATCAAGCCATACAACTAAAGGCAAATCACCAAGGCTATATGAAGATTATGCTTCCTATCTCACAGCTGACCTGCTAGCTTACAAAGTTAAGGTTCCACGCAACTACAAAGAAGCTATAACTAGTGAATACACCAGTAAATGGAAGAGTGCTATGGAAAAACAAATTGAGAAGCTAGAAGCTGCCAATACTTGGGAGCTAGTTGAGATGAATTTAATAGATCCTACAGCTAAGATCCTACCTGGCAAATGGGTTTTTGACTTGAAAGTGAATGCTGACGGCTACATTATCTCCTTCTGTGCTAGATGGGTCATATGTGGTAATTTCCAACACTCTGGCCTTGATTTTGATGAGACTGCTGCATCCATAGTCACTGAATCAGCTATCAAGCTCGTGCTTATAAAAATAGTGGTTGAAGATATGCACTGCAAACAAGTTGATATAGTTACAGCCTACTTGCATGCCATACTTAAGCACCATAAGATCTACATGAGCCTTCCAACTGGAACAGAAAGAAAAGGCTTCATCTGCAGACTCTGGCAAGCTCTGTACAGACTGAAGCAAGCAGGACATCTTTGACAGGAGACCTTCACAAAAGCTCTCATGGAGATTGATTTAAAGCCACTAAAGAATACAGATCCATGTGTATTCATAGATGAAGAGTCTGGCCTGCTACTAATAATCTATATTGATGACACCCTTATTGCTGCTTCTATGAAAGAAACCATTACTGATTTCAAAAACAAGCTGTCCAATCACTTCCCTATAAAATCTCTAGGCGAACTGTCAAGATTCCTAGGTTGCAAAATTGAATGAGATTGTATGAAGCAAATAATCTACCTCTCCCAAGAATCATATGTTTAAAAGGTTCTTGCCAAATTCTACATGAGTGGCTCAACAATCCAGACCACCCCTATGGCAGAAGGAGTATGGCTTACACAGGAGCCTGAGTCTAGTTCAGTAGTTGCTGAAAGCATTGTGAACTGGCTGCAACAGCTTCTTGGAGCTTTCAATTGGCTCTTAATAAAGAGCTGCCCTGATATTACATTGGCCATCAACAAACTCCAACAATTTGCTACAAAGCCAACACTAGAGCACCTAGGATATAGCAAACAAATACTGTATTATTTGAAAGGATCTCCCATGCTAGGCCTAACCCTCAGAGGCACCCTGAAGCCTGGAATCCCAGAATTACAAGTCTACATGGATGCTAGTCATCAAGACTGCAAGGAAGGACACTTAACAGAAGCATATGTATTATTTTATATGGGAACTCCCATTGCATGGAGCTCAAAACACCAAAAGATTGTTGTGCTGTCAAGCACAGTAGCAGAATTTTGTGCTCTTGATTCTGCTGTGAAGAAAGCACTCTGGATTCAGAAGCTCTTACAAGATCTTGATCTTCCAGCAAAAGCTTCAATTCCTATATATATGGATAGTGCGAATGCTATAGCACTAGCTCACAAGCCAACATACACACCGGCCACCAGGTGGATGGATATGTGTTGGTTCTTCATGAAGGAGCTTCTCAAAGAGGAAAGGGTGAAACTCTACCATATACCAGGAATGGAGAATCCAGCAGACAGCTTGATGAAGCCACTTGGAAAACAAAAATTTAAAGAATTCTTACAGATGTTGAATCTCAACAATGTGGATCCTACATTCACACTTGCTTGATTAGGATGACACAAACACCAGCAGAAGTGGCATAACCCACAACAACATTACACCAGTAACAGATTTGGAGCTCAACCTCCAATTTGGACTTCTGCTTACCATTTACTAAGAAATATTCCACTCATTTGGTTATTGAATCAGCTTGGATCCTGGATTTGTTGGATTTATGTATTTAGAAATTTGTCTTCTCCCAGTACTCGCTGGAGCCTAGGGGGCGGTGTTGAGACACTAGTCTCTATGTAGTTAGTCTCCAGCTTAGCGGCTTGGATCTTCTTTGATCTGATGCAGAGTTTTCGTCTTGCTTCTCATCCCACAATCCTTTGGATGAGAGGAGCGAGGGCACGCACATCTATTGAGTTCACGTTCCGTGGTTCCTATAGCTTCCGCATATGGTTGGTAGCCTTGTAGGTCCTTCCGAGACTTCTCCATGTCGCTCACTTCTTCCTTCTGCTGCCGATACTGGGCCGGCCAGATGCCTTGCTTGCCCGGGCTCAGGATGCCATTCGGATCCAGCGTATCTTTAATTCGCTTGTTCAAGTCCCGTAAGCTGCACCCGTTGAAATCGTACTGCTCAGCAACAAGATCCATGTAGTCGATATGCGCTCTATACTCGCTATATCCATGTTTTCGTGCAAGGTGTACGAGCTCGACAAAGAGTTTGCTGGCGTTGGCCCGCTCCGTGTCGGAAGTGCGGTCAAAGTAGATCATATTTATCATGGTCAGATGTCGTGGATAGAGGTGTAGACCGCCGAAGTAGTCGAAGCCGTAGCGGGCGCAGAGCGGTTTTGCGTCACGGTAGAAGGACAGGGCGCAGCTACCTTCAGGAGGAAGGACGGGAGAAAAGGAGATGTGCCCACTAGGAGATAGTTATTAGAACGGATGCACACTTATTGCCAGGGTGCGTGCGATTTTAATAGACATTATGTAGCATGTACTTACCCATCCTTGCCGCGATACTCGACGGCTTTAAGAGCCATGAGACTCGGAGTGCCAGTCTCAACGGTTCGTTCAGCAAGTGGTATATCTTCTGGACTTAACGCCTTTCTTCCCTCGGGAGGATAGTATGCCTTGCCTGTGAGTCTTGCACCGGGAAGCTTGTCAAATACCTCCTGGCACCTCTTATAATTGAATTCAATCATCTCCTTCGGACCATACAGCCCGAATCTCGCGGACCAAAACCCGATCCCAAACTGCTTCTGAATCTCCTTTAGCCTTGCATCTGGAATCGCGTCTTTGCCGTCGTAAAAGTCCTTGCGCTGCCCGCGCTTGACCATTTCTCGTGGCAAATTCCCGATCAACGGGTGGTTCTGAATCACATCGTGGAGCAGGAGATCACGGAATCCATCTATCAATGGTAACAGATCGTCCTCACTCTCCACGTCCACACGACACGCCATGAAGCCCTCTGGGCTAGGTGACGCCCAGAGAGTAAGCTTGGTCACGATGCCAAAGTTGCTCTGGCTGAACATGCTTTCGTACGTCGGCCCGTACCCACCACGGAAGAGCGGCCAGCAAGGGGAATTATCAATTGCTCCTGCGCCAGTCCGTACAATTGTGCCGTCTGCGAGCACTACTTCGATACCGCAGATTTGATTGGAGTGGTCACCAGCAGGCGTATATCCCCAACCGCGATCAAGCGCATTGCCGACGACGGATCCCCAACCCAGCGCAGGTACGGAGCACCATATGTTTTTCTTTTGCGCGTGAATGGCGCGGTAGATGTCGAAGAAAGTTACGCCAGGTTCAACGGTGTAGTAAGAGTACCGGTCGTTTACTTCGATTACTTTGCGCATGCGCTGAAGGTCAAGAATTATGGAGCCCTGACGTGCACCTATCAGTTCATGTCCTGAAATCATATTTCAGTGAGGAGGGAAGGTGGGTTGGGATGATACCTTCACTCTTGCGGCCGGCCCACCATAGCCCAAATTCTTTCCTCGCGATACGGTCCACAGCGGGATCTTGTGCTCATTGCAGATCTTTAGAATAGCTTGGATATGCTCGACGGTGACGGGAAACAGCGTGGCTGAGCTTCCACGCTTCTCCTGCTCATCGGATTCCTCAGCGTAGGGATCGATATAGCGGATGCGATGCTCGTGCCCGCTCAATACACCTTTATCCCCTAAGATCCTTTTGAACTCCTCGAGCACGCCGGTCCAGGTCTCCGCATCGACACCCGGAGGGAGGATATCGAGGGTTGGAGTGCGGGAGGCGGTTGTTTGCCATGTCGAGAGGACCTCATTGGCCATTCCATTTTCTTTTTCATTGAGGGCTAGAGAGAACGGGGATAGAGGGGAATATGCCGCCATGGTTTTGAATATGATGCTGTTTTGCTCGATCGAGGCTTGCTGCTCGCAACAGCTTCCCCTCCTTGGGCGTCAACGACATATTAAATTATGGATCATTTTTCCATTCCCCTCATCGACTCCAAACAGCAGTATCCTGCACGTCATTAGGTTCAAGTTGCCCTGCAAACGTGCCTCCCGGAGACATGGCGCCGGAGTGTTGGCGCCGTTCGGAAGATGAGCCATGTCGCTGGAGTCGGATCAAAGAACTACAATCCCAAAAAGCATAAGCTTAAACCCAGACATGCCCAGCTATGTAAAAAGCTTCCTTCTTCGCAAGCTAATTAGCGTTGAAAGTGCTGCATCCTTCGCATGACTCGTGGACCCGCCAGGTTGACATTGCTGCAGCTTCAGCGAAGAATAGGCGACTGCCTGCCCGAACAAAGCCGCTAAAAGCCCCTAAAACTTGGGTCACGCACCGCCTTAAGCTCGCGCCAAGTACACTAATGAGTTAGCGCAACCGGCGCCTGGCGCTTCAGGCGTCGAACATCGGGTTCTTGTATCCGTGCTTGTTTCCGCCCGGAAAATTTCTTCTGCTGCTCACTCTCAGCAGATGCGAATGTCAGAATTCTCCGCAGGAGCTCCCCACGGGGTCTGGGGAAGCGGAGAGAGGTCCCCACCCCATCTCTCTCCAAGTCAATGCTCTTTTCTTCTAGCTACCATGTTATATAAAGGGGATGACGGCTTCGCACTCCCTGAAGGGAAGGGAAAGCACTAGACCTTCTGCTTCGTGCACCCGAAGTATAAGGGTCTCACCTCTTACGCTTTGCTCTGAGTTTTGTGACTCGTTTCTGTCCTTTGTGCTTTCCTCTTGAATTGCTGCTGCTTATTGCCAATATGTCTTCCGACGCCCCTGATGGGGAGCAGCAGGCCGTAGGCGAAGGCCGTCGTGACACCAGCCTCAAAGCCAACTGGCGCATCTTCGCCATCACGCTGTACATGGGAATTTCTCTCTTTGAGTATGGCTTTGACAAGGGCGCCATCGCAGGTTTTCAAGCCATGCCCGGCTTTCTTCAGGTGTTTGGCTACCAAACTGAGTCGGGAACATGGGATATCCACGTACGTAACCTTGCACCGATTCTTTCTATTCTCTATGAGGACGTTGCTAATAGGCTATGATTAGGCCGGTCCTCAGCAAATGATCTCCTCGTTCATGATCCTGGGCAGCGTCATTGGTTCTATCAGCACGGGCTTCATCGGCGCGCATATTTGCCGTCGCTACTCGCTCATGTTCGGCTCGCTTATCGTCATTGTCTGCATCGCCATCATGGCTGAGACCACCTCCATGGGAGCTCTCTATTTTTCCAGACTTTTAATCGGAGTGGGTAACGGCTTGCTGCTCAATTTTACGATCCTGTATCTACAGGAGTGCACGCCACCCCGCTTCCGTGGTCTCTGTCTTAGTATGGTGACCTGCTGGATTGCCATCGGAACGACTATTGGCATGGTTCGTCTGGCCCAAAGTTCTCGGTTCTATGAGAACGAAACCTGCTAACGGGGCACAGGTGATTAACCACAGAACCAACCACATCATGAGCCGCAAAGCCTATCAGATTCCTCTCTATGTCTGCTACCCTGCACCCATAATCCTCATTCTTACGCTGCCCTTTCTCCCCGAATCACCCCGCTGGCTGCTGCACCACGGCAAGACCGAGGAGGCGCTTCGCAGCTTGCGTTTCTTCCGCAAGGGGGCCTACGATGAGGTCGCGATCCAGCAGGAATTCGAGGAGATGAAGGCGATTGCGAGACGCGAGGCCGAGGCCCAGAAGGACTGGCGTTTGTTCTTCGAGCTGTTCAAGGGTCATAATCTGCGGAGAACAATTATCGCTGTTGGTGTTGGCACTGCAAACGCTGGTGTGGGCGCAATGTTTATCCTTGCATTTGGAACATACTTTTTCCGGGTGGTGAGTCTCCAATCTGGTTTAACTACGGTGTAATAAAGAAGCATCTGACAGCGAATAGGCTAATGTCGGTGACCCATTCAAATGGATCATCGTGACCAACTGTGTTGGCCTCGCTGGTCTCTTCACCACTTGGTGCATTGTAACCCACATCGGTCGCCGGCGCATTATCGTCGCAGGCTGCGCAATTTGCACAATCGCTATGCTCCTCATGGCTGCCGTGTACACTTCCCCAAGCGTCTCCAAGGATGGCGCGGGTATCGCACTGGTCATAATCGTGTCCATTTACGTCTTTGGCTTCAATTTCGGCCTTGAACCCTACGTGTACCTCGTTGCTGGCGAGCTCCCCGCGCAAAACCTTCGCGGTTATACTATGGGCTTGTCGACTGCCACAAGTTTTACGTTTGCATGGTTGAGCGCCTTTACCACGCCCTACTTCATCAATCCCGGAAACCTGAACTGGGGTCCCAAGTACGGATATATCTGGTTCGTTAGCGGGCTCATCGTCACCGCGTTCGTGTGGTATTATTTACCTGAGGTGAGAGGCCGCACTCTCGAGGAGATCGATGAGATGTTCAGGAACAATGTGCCTACGAGGGATTTCCCCAAGTATGTGTGCGTGGAAAGCCAGGAGGCAAAGGAACGGGGCCTGATGAACGTTTTCGGAGAGGTCAAGCCCGACGCAGAGCACGTTGAGTCTGCTTCGAAGAACTAGCCTTTTTTTTTTTTTTTTTTTTTTTTTTTTTGTTTTACTTAGAGTTAGTTAAATTAAGAGCCGGCTTCGAGAGCTCGTACTGAAAATTTTCTCTTCAACAATTTCAACTCGTGCGGACTAACCGGTTGTGTATGCCTGTCGACTCGTTTCTCGTTGCTCGTCGTTCTCCGTCGAAGACTGTTTGACTCACAGAGCTCTCACGTAGTTAAGTTCACGCCAATGCTGCCGAGAAATGCCAAAAAAGGCATTTCCCTCTAGAACGAGCAATAGGAGTCCTTCCAGAGTCAAAGTGAGTTTCCATGCCCTCTTGGCCCAACAAGTCGCGACGTTCAGTCAAATCGTCAAGCGGATCAGTTGCACAACGTAATCCAGCATTAATCCATCGATTCAGTCTTTGCAGCTTTAGAATTTCTTCTTCAACCCTGATTTCGTTCGCAAGTAGCTAACCGATATATGTATCTGCAGCGTCTGACGCGTCGCGATCATGTTTCCGAAAATTCTGATGGGCTGATCGCCCGGATGCAAGTCGCCGCATCTAAGACGCTTCGTCGGAAGCATGGCACCGCTCGCCAGATACAGCCACCATCGCGACGAGAGGGCCGCGGAGGAGCTCCACCGCGGCCCCGGTGTCACTATCTTGGGGTATCTCCCCGATCCGGGGAGAATGGAGATCTCCAAGGTTTCTGATGGTTCATAAACTGATGCACAGCATCCTTCCGGGTGGCGCCACGGCGTTGCTATCGATCACTCCTATCAACATGGACTGTACCTTCATGACACCCTGTGCTGTCGCAGGAGGTGTTGGCGTCCTCAGCCATCTCCTGTACTTCATCCGCGGTGAACATCACAAGTATGCGCATCGATGGATCACCCGGATCTTCGCAGGCATTACTGTCCTGGCCGTCTCCGTCCTACGAGTGACTGAGTACCAGTTTTTACGTACACTCATTCTCACAATTCTTCTCTCGACTTCGTACTTTGTGGGACTCTATGGCAGCATTGGGATCTATCGGATATTCTTCCATCCGTTGCGGAAGTTCAAGGGGCCGTTTTGGGCCAGGGCGTCCAACTTGTACCATATGTGCATGATTCGAAAGTCGGATAACTACCTTGTTATGAAGAAGTTGCACAAGCAGTATGGCCCAATCATTCGGACTGGTAAGTATGGAATTTCAGCATCAAATTCGACATGGGTACGCGCTGACCTCGAGGGACATTGCTAATGATGAAGTGTAGGCCCTGCTAATTTGTCCATCAATGATCCGGCTGCTATCCCTATCGTCCTAAGCGACAGGGCTAAATGTTTCAAGGGCCCGTGGTATGATCGATCTCTGCCGCTTGTGAATCTACACACGGTGCGTGACAAGAAAGTTCATGATGCCCGGAGAAAGGTGTTCAGTAAGGCGTTTACTCCGACGGCTCTGCGCGAGTATGAAGAACGAGTGGTGGTGCATTGCGAGGAGTTTGTGAGGCAGATGAGTCGTCTGAGCGGGAAACCGTTTGACGCGTCTGAGTGGTTCAAATATTTTGGTACGTTCTGCCTCTCTCTCTATCCCAATCTACCCATAATGCTTGAGTCGGTGCTTACATTGATTTACCAGCGTTTGACGTGATGGGTGATTTGGGTCTTGGAAAAGAATTTCACATGATGACTACGGAGACGAATCGATGGATTCCCACTCTCCTAGAGACCAGCATGAAACATGTCGGGCCCACGAGCCCTGTCCCTTGGATGGCGCCCATTTTGCACAAGATGCCATGGGCTGGAAAGGGTGCGCGGGCTTGGTTGGAGTTTGTCGGGTCACAGGTCAAGCAACGCACTCAAAAGAAGTCGGATAAGCGAGATGTGAGGAAATGCCCTATATTGAGTATTTTGTTCGTCTACTAAACACGGCCACAGATTCTGTCCCATCTAATAGATGCCTACGACCAGACCGAGAAGAAGGATATTGACTATCAGTGGCTGCGTGGTGATACAAGGCTGACCATCGTTGGGGGTTCCGATACAACGGCGGCAACGCTCACCTTTCTCTTCTATCACTTGGCAAAGGATCCGTCACAGGTCGAAAAGTTGCGAGCTGAGTTAGAGCCATTGCTCAATGGAAAACCTCAACTCGACCCCAAAGACGTATCCAAGGCGCAACATCTCAACGGGGTAATCCAGGAAACCTTGCGCCTTCATCCTGCTATTCCGTCTGGATTTCCGCGGGTTACTCCCCCAGAGGGTGTTACGATTAGCGGGACTTATATTCCAGGAGGAACCACGATCGTTATCCCGTTATATGCCATGCAACATGACGAAGCTAACTACGCGAATGCCGAGGAGTTCATTCCAGAGCGGTGGTACTCGAAGCCGGAACTCATTAAGAATAGAGATGCTTTCTTGACGTGGAATATTGGTAAGTGAAGCTGGCGCAGCGATCAAACTCGCAAAAAAATCTAACATCCTATGACAGGCACAAACGGGTGTATCGGCCGAGCACTGGCTCTTACGGAGATGCGGAATCTGATCACTTACTTCATTCGCAACTTCTCGACGGTCAGGTTTGCGCCGGGCGAGGACGGGACGAAATTGGTGACTGAGACGAAGGACCATTTTACTGTGGGCGTGAAGCCATTACATTTGATTTTCGAGTAGAAATGTTAATAGTAGTTATGATAGAATGAGTCAATGTGCAGAAGAGAAACAAAACGCATGTTGTCACGATGTTGCTTCTCGTCCGGCTTCAGGGCCCCTGACTCGCTACAGTTCGCCCCGGTGGCGACGCTAATAAGCTAGTTCCTCGCTAATTTGCTAGTTGAGCGAAGTGAGAGCCAGTCGGCTGGTTACTGGCGCCAACTTTGTCTGGAGGACCATAACCAGTACATAGCCTCGGGCTATCATCTCCGCCCCCGCATGCGCAGTTGAATAAGAAAGGAGACAATGTTCCGCCCCGGATCGTTGGGTGCAGCACCCAACACCCTGATCACACCACACCGACATGGATTCGGCCGGAACACCGACGGCACAGAAACGCCCGCGCGAGAAGAACGCCGCGGAGCAGCAGCCGCGGAAAAGGGCGCGTCAAAGCTGCGAGACTTGTAAGGCGAGGAAGACGAAGGTAAAGTGGTTGGCGATCCCTGCCTCTCAGCGGATATGATAAACTGATCGGTGAGATCTAGTGTGTCGGCGTTGGTAGGCTTAGTCTTAGCAATTGAGCCTGTAACAATGCTGACCGACGCTCGAATTTTCAAGAGAATGGTACATGCCAGTATTGCGCACAGCTCGGTGTACCATGTGAAGTCAATCTCAAAAACAGAAAGCGTCCATTTTACCGCGTGTCGGAGGAGGTCTATGAGTCTTCCATCACGCTGCTCCGTCGCTTCGTGTCTGAAGAAGAGCTGCCGGAGCTTACGGTTGAGGGCATCCAAAGCATTCTTGCTAAACTAAGTGATGCCAATGGAATCGGCAACGGCAATGCTCGCCCCACGAGTCCAAGGCTACAACAGCAGCAGGATCAGCAGCAGCCACAAAATGGCCATGCTAACAAAAGAATGGACGACACAGATGGACTGCCAGAGGAAGTCATGGAACCGGACGAGCATCCCGTCCTGCAAGAAGAGCGAGGTTGCATGCTTCTGGACTCGTTGGGAAAATACCGCTATGTCGGCGCAGATTCGTCGATCCGCTGGAATCATGCTGCGCGTGTAGCACAGCAGACCTTTATCGATTCAGACCCAAAAGTCATTCCACCGTTGAAAACAGGCTTGCTCCCGCCAACGACCCCGGAGAGCCCCATGAGTACACGGCGAGGGGAGATATACTTGCCTCCTCGCCAGCTGTGTATGCGCTATGTGGGATATTTCTTTGAAGAGGTACATTGTTTATACTGGTTTTACTCCCCTGAGCAGTTTTACAGCCTCCTTGACCAAACCCTCGAAGATCGGGGGACGAGAGCGAGCTCATCTTGGCTTTGTTCGCTATATTCAATTTTTGCGATAGGAAGTATGGTTCCGAGTAATCAAATAATACACTCGGGAAGTGCTGTGGAACATGCTGGTAAACAGGCGCCAGATTACTTGACTTTGGCAAAAGAACTCTCGGCTGGAGCTGCGGATGAGGCAGATATTGAAAGTGTGAAAGCTTTTGGGTTGCTGGTACGTTATGCACTCTCTCACACTTGTGTCTATAACACTAATAATCACAGAGTCTGGCCATGCATGCAATGTGTTATAGCGTTGGGGCTTATCTACACCTCGGAACGGCGGTGAGGATTGGATTCTCACTTGGCCTACACAGAGACATTTCGCCCCGAACAAGAGACTCAGTTGAACGAGAAAGAGGCAGACGTCTATGGTGGACGATATATACGCTTGACCATGAGATGGCTATCCGCTTCGGTTACCCATGTGCTATTGGCGAGGATGCCGGATTTGTGAAAACGCCGCCGGCATCTGAGCAGGTACGTGACTTTTGTCGAAGTCTATGCAGCTAATGCTTTTCTAACATTGGTCGGCGCATCTAGATCATGGACCCAGGGCCGAACATGCCACTGGGGTACCAAGCACTATCATCCTCCCTTGTTCGGCTTAGGAAGAGGATTAGCTATACCTGCTTTATCGAACCTGCACAAGTTGGTGGCCGATTGCCAATAAGTCGAGTCACAGAGAGCTTGAATGATCTGAAATCCTGGCTGGACAACGCGCCTCCATACCTCCACTGGGACTCCTCCCATCCGCCTCAGCATCGCCGACCGGTGTTGGTCCTGCACTTGCGGTATTGGAGCTCTGTCATATCTGTCACACGCCCTTTTCTCCTCTTTACTGTCTCTCGCCCGTCCACGATCGTGGTCCCTGCCAAAAGAGCATGCTACGAGGAACTCAGCGGGAAGTGCATCGAAGCAGCAGAGCTCTCTGTGCAGATACTAAAACGCATGGTAGACGACCGGAGGTTGTCAAGTCGGATTTTGTTTGACTGCCATTGTATTGGGGAGGTTATGTGGATTCTGATCTTGGCCGTCCAGAAGTTGGGCAGGCCGGAGCACCAGGACATGCTCAGGTTTTGCCTCGAGACTGTAACCAGCATGGAGAGAATTGGATGGTGCGAGAAGGTCTCCCCAGAATTGGAAGCGAGAATTCACGAGAGCGGTGCTTTGGAGCCACTGGTACACTTGCAAATTCAAACGAATCAACACCAGCAACAGAAGTATCCGGATGGAATCGAAGGCAGGGTCATATTTCCTCCAGAATCAGGGCCAAGTTATGTTGATGGGACTGCTGATTTGTAAGTCTCTCCTCGTATTACTTTGCGATATATTTGGACTGACATTCCCAGTAATTTTGACGCTTCGCAATTCGACGTGTTCGAGACGCTGGACCTGGATACTCGCTCGGGGTTGATGGATATCTTTGCGGACGCTACACTGTCCGCATCACACCTCGTATTTGATATAGAGCAGCGAGAAATTTAAATCCTCTGAAATTATACTCTACTACCCCTTCCACAATATCCCACACCACCATGCTATCCAGTTATCTTTCTGCTTGTCTTAATATTGCGAGTGCTGACACAGTCCAGCGTAGGGTGAAGCCATATTACTCGATTGAATTTGGAAGGCTATTTAAGATATATCACTTAGACTGTTTGCTCGCTAGTACCGTTTACACTTCACCCGCAGATGTCGCCTTCTGCTGCCACGGCAGCGGCGCACTTGCAGCCTTCACTGGTCCCAACTCCCGCTCTCTCTTCTGCTTCCACGCCTCAATCTCACCCTGCTCCACAAAGTTCCCATGAAGACCTAACCTGAGCTTGAACGGTAAATGGATGACTGCAACTGGGCCCTGTGAAATGTTTTGCGCATCGAATATACACACATCATTGCGCAGCACATCAAGATGGTTCAGCAGAGCGATAATATACCCATCCCCTTCCTGCGTGCTCCCCGCCCGTGGGATGAAAGCCGGCTCCTGGAATGTTGCGCATGGTCCTGCCCAAAACGTCTCGCGAGCCGAGCTGTCCCATGTGAAGTGGCCTAGACTATTGAATAGCCCACCGGCCGGACTCCCACATTTCGCGAAATCGTAGGGCTTAGTCCCGTCAATGACTGCCTGCCAGTAATGATTGTATTTCATTGTTGTGAAGCGGTCATCGATGCGTGAAAATTCGCCGGAGTATGTATCAAATTCTTCCGCAGGATCCACCCAGGAGTTGGTGGGCGTGTTGGGATCGAATATCCAACGGGTTGTCTTGTTTTGCAGCTTGTTCCTTTTCGCGACCGTGCCTGCAGGGGTGTCGATCGGAGGCCAGAAGAAGAACACGTTGCCGTCGGCGATAGTAAGGTCAAATACGACTTTACCACCGGGAGTTTCGTAGCAGCTTACGGTGTGGCCTTGGAAAGCTGGAAGCTGTTAGTCAACAATGACCGTTAAAGAGAGCAGGGAATTATCTTACCATTCTTTGAACGGTACCATCTAATGTCTTCTGGCTTTCCCCCTCGGCGTGGCACAAGCCCATACCACTGGTCTTCGTTTGGATCCCAGGCCCAGTGGTTCTCTCCTTTCTTTAGACGCTCCGGGTCGCATTTAAGCGGTGTCATTGGAAGAACAACCCAGTTATCACTTATCCCACAATCATGAATTATGCCACAGAACGGTGCCTTATACCAGCATTCCTCTGTCTTGACTCCTTCGGCATTGATGGAGTATACCACTATGTCGGAAGAGCCATCATTGCCGTCACCACCAGCCTACACGATCTATTAGCATTCCTGGGAGAAGCTATCGAAAAGACCGCCTTACTTCATATCCGTAACACACCATTTCCCCTGTCCTCGGGTCAAATTTCGGGTGTGCCGTGAATGTCGGACTTAGTATCTGACCCTCAAAATCATACCGTCCAATCGTCTCTAGAGTGTCTGGATCCATCGCATACGGTGGTCCATCTTCCTTTGTCGCAAGCAACATTCCTCTCCAGAAAAAGATATTTGTGTTCGCCGCGGTGCGAATTACGCCTTTGACCGCCTCATTGTCCGTGTACGGATTGCGATACTTGCCAAAAAGCGCTTTTCCGGCTTTACTCTCCGCATCATACCGGTCCGTGTGGACATATCGCTGCTTGAAGTGGGCGCTCCCATTCGCAATGCGGATAGCTGTGACATTGCCGTCGCCGTTGAAATGGATGTCTGAATCGTAGACCGGAGGGAAACGGTGGTCTGGTTGGACGCGGAAGAATGTTCCATCTATGTCTGTTGGGATTTGGCCCGTTACTTCGAGATTCTGGACATCACCTTCAATGCGCGAAGGCCTGTTGAAACCGTGGAATACTTCAGTGGCGGGGAACTTGAGCTGGGAGCTTGATTTCATGCCATTGGAGTAGTTGGGGGAGAGGGAGAGCGTTTCGGCAAGTTCGAAAATGTGTGCCATTGTTAACTTAGCTGGATGCTGTGGATGTTAGATATCAAGGTAGTTTCGGCGACAAGTTGATAACAACGCCTCTGGTGCAACGTCATGCAGGCCATCCACAGTATATATCCCCGCATGCTCGTTTTAGCAATCAAAAATCGCCCGGAAAATAGCTTTCCGAAGTAATTAACCCCGCAATTCATCATTGTAAACTGTGATCAGTCGTCGTTCCCGAAGCTGGAGCAGCAGCAAAGTGTCTGTGATGTTCGAGCCGGGTTGTTCCCATCGGATACAATCAGCCGATGTAACTACTCCGTAGCTAGCCAACCAACGACGTCAATCGCGATTAGGAGGCCCATTTTTGCACCCACTCGTGCTTTTCCGGGTTTGATTAGATTCTTCAGGAAATAAGAGTATGCATGGTGCACTGAGTAGTTACAGGATACATTTTGTCAACTTAGAGACATCGCAAAGTTGGGCCCCAACTATGCATTCTCTACTTGTCTCAAAAGGATGGAAACTTAAAAACCCCCCTTTTTGTGCTCATGTAGTGTTTAGGGCTTCAAAAACTAAGGAACAGGTTACCGCATGGACAACACCAGTACATAGTGACTCCTTTTAGCAACTGTATGTGTACTTGTTCAAAGGACGAAGAGTTGTTATTTGGTTCTGCTCTGCGTTCTGAGGACTAACCAGTTAAGTAACTAGCCACTATTAAGCATATCCTTGTTTTGTCCAGAAAAAGGTTATTGGCAAGGGGAAAACCCATGCAGGGATGCTTCTTTATGATGTTCAAGGAAATTGACATGCATCAAGATCATTATTATATACAAGAATAAATGTGCAGCTAAAGCAATCTTCTAAGCAAGCCCTGTCTCCTATCTAATGTACCAGGCGAGGTCCTCTTTCTTGATATCTTTAAGCGAAAGCCCACGACCGAGATAGGCAAACCTGTTCGCGCTCTCATATGTAAACTCAAAGTCCTGCAGGCGAGGATCCCTTATGCTCTCTAAGAAATGATTAAGCGAACCAGCCCACGGGCCAACGATCCTGCCATTTGATGTTCCTCCTTTGTACCTGGGAGACGGTCAGACAGTTGCACATGTCAGGATTAGAATGCAAACTTACCAACTATTGCAGTTCCCGGAAAAAGTCAACAGTTCCATGACCGCATCCTTGTGATCGTTGAACTCCGTCGTCGCCTGTTGGCTAACCACTACTGACTTCACTCCTTCTCTTTGGATCTTATTTGCGAAGCTTAACGCAAATTCCAGTTGATTTTCAATAGCAGGCATAAGCGAACCGTTCGATATTGGCGTGTTTGGCCCAACAACCACTACAGGAACATCGGATGAGAATACGTGTCGGTTTTATGAGGAGAAAGAGTTACTTACTGAAGTAGTTCGGCATGTCTGGTACAGCACAAGTAAAATAGGCCTCTGCGCCCGTCTTTGCCCACCTTTTTCCAAGATCCACGCCGTTCCTTCCGATGAGTGGGAACGGAGGAACATAGGACGTATCGTAGCCCGTGGCTGCAATGATAACATCAGCTGGGTAGGTCTTCCCATCAGCTGTGACTACGCCTTCATTGTTGATCTCCTGGATTGAAGTTCTGACAACCTCGACATTAGGTTCTTGCAGTGCTTCCAGGTAGCCATCGCCAGGAGTGACACTATGAATGCAAATTAGCATAATCCAAGACATTACGCATATAGAACCGATTACTTACCGTCTACATCCCACATCAAAGTCTGGAATCAGCTTCTCGCGAAGCTCTGGATCCATCTTCGAAAGTCTTTCCCGCATTCCCTTCTCGACAATCTCTCGTGAAATCTTCTGCTCTTGCGAGCCTTTGTAGAAGTTCGGGAATCTGGAATTGATTGCATGGTCAATTTCCTGTCGGTACTTCCGTAGGTACTCACGATCGTTACGGAATTTCTCTTTTTCTTCTTCTGTGTATTTCGTTGCTCGTCCGGCTGATGCCAGGTGACCAGCAAACTGAGGTGCAATCCAAGTGGGAGACCTATTGAAGCTGATAAGAGACTTGACAACTATTATTTTTTATACTTAGTACCAATTTGTCCACGAGTAAGAATGGGAAAGCTCACTGGGTTGAATTGTAGGGACCACCTGGATTCCTGATGAACCTGCGCCGATAACGGCGACTGTCTTTCCCCTCAAATCAAGGTCTTGAGGATAGCAGGCTGTATGCACGAGCTTTCCTTCGAATGAGTGAAGGCCAGGAATATCGGGCCACTTCCACTTGCTATTCTCCAAGTCAGCTGGATTTCACATTCCGAAGTTCAATTACCCTCACTTCAGCACTCCAGCGCAATTGATGACAACCTCCGCTGAGTCTTCTATCACCTGTCCACTCTTTAGATCTTCAATTTTCACCATCCATTTCCCATCGTTCTCGTTCCATGTCAAACCAGCAACCCTATGATTGAATTTCGTCTTCTCGTATACTCCATACTCTTCGGCTCTGTCCCGGTAAAATTTCCAGATTTCCTCCGCACCGGCATATCTGTCAAACAGAATGAGCTTATACCATAAAACTTATACGGTGTATATGTACTCACACCCCAGACCAGTCCGGATTTCCGATCCAGGGATAGGTGTAGGAATGCGCCGGGATATCGCATGAACATCCAGGGTATCGGGACTCCAGCCAAGTACCTCCAACGTCTCCGTTCTTCTCGTAGATCTGATATTCAACGTTTTCCAGCTCCTTGGCCTTGTAAGCGAAGGCTATTCCCGATATTCCAGCACCAACAACGATGATTCGAATCCGACGCGGTTGGTGGATGTATTGGTCGCTGACGACATATTGCTCAGGAAGGGCGATTGACCCCATGGTGATTATTTCGGGTACAAGTGATGGATGAATGGAACACAGTTGGTAATGCTGGCCGGTGAATGTGACGACTACAAATCAATATAAGATAGAAAGCCGTATCGAAGCATATGAGCACGGTGGAGCAGTGTGGCGGACATATACAGCCGAGAAAATCGTCATCATCTTCACGAAGTTAGGCCTGTGGAGGTGATGTTCGTAGTTAGTCAGTTAATGGATCTTAATTGCGAGAATTAATTAGTTTTTCGCCGACTGAGAGTGAACGATGCCATTTCGAGAAGCAAGCTCAAGCTTCTTCTGGACCTGATCCCATTTGACCCCTTTCGGGATTATGGTTCCGAGCCTCATGGCCCGCAATGCTGGATTCACTGCCAAAGCTCCAATGTTTTTGGATGCCAAAAATTGGAATGGCATTTCGTACACACATGCGGGGTTTATACTTCCCCGGATCATCCTTACGGCATGCATAGATCTGTCCTTTGAAGTGGAAAGATGCTTGCACCCACGATTCCTTTAGCTGAACACGCCAGCCCGCCAGTTGAGCCTGACTGTGTTTTACAGCACTTCTCCAAGTCAATCTAAGAAGAAAACATGGATGAAGCTTCTATCACAGACATGATGCCTCGCACAGTGTACGAGCTCATAGAGCAACTCGCGGTCAACGAGCCAGACCTCCCCCTCATCGCCTACCCTAGCGACAAGAACACTAATGACTTTGTGCACTACACGGCACAAGATCTAAATGGCTATTCTTCCCAAGTCGCAGAGCACTATGCCGAGTTTATTCACCCCAGGAGAAATTCTTCAGATCGGATAAGGGTAGTGGCGCTTCTCGCTCCGTCAACAGTCGACTATCTGATCTCAACGTTGGCGTTGTGCAAGCTGGGATTCACCGTTCTTTTTCTTTCTACAAGGCTCGCAGATGCGGACTTTGTCGGTCTACTCAACGAGACCAGTTGTTCAGATGTGATATTGGATAAAATCTTCCACGAACGGATCTCGAATCTTAGGGAGCGAGTGTCGGGCCTGCAGACACACATCATTGCCGACTGGAATATATACCTTACACCTAGTCGAAATAACCCAATAGACCAGGAGCTTGACCTCAATGTTGAAACGAACAATGCGTGCTGGATCATTCACTCGAGCGGCTCCACAGGTCCTCCTAAGCCTGTGCCGCAAAAACATTCGGCTATACTTCGCAACGCTGCCGATAATTTTGGAATGACCGCCTTCATAACTTTGCCGCTCTTCCATGCCCATGGTATCAGCAGCGTCATTCGAGGGTTCACTTCCAGAAAAGAAGTATTCTTATACAGCGCCTCCTTACCATTGACCGGAGCGCGACTTGTAGAGACATTTGAAAGTTATCAATTTGAGATGTTTTCTGGGGTACCTTATGCCTTGAAATTGATTGCAGAAACTCCACAAGGCACAGAATTGTTGAGTCGAATAAAGCTGGTCACTTTTGGTGGCTCATCATGTCCAGAAGCTCTCGGGGACGAATTGGTCCGTAGGGGAGTTAGGCTAGCTTGCCATTATGGATGGTACTTCTCTCCTGATCATTCCAAACCCTCTTTAATTTTCCGTTGCTAACGCAGAGGTCCCGATTTAGTACAGAATGCGGCCAATTGATGACATCTGTACGCCCACCTGACGATAAGGATTGGAATTACATGCGCATATCTTCCAGAGCTGCACCTTTCCTTCACTTTGAGGAGCAAGATTCCAGTAGACTATATGAGCTTGTCGTACTGCCCGGATGGCCTGCCAAGGTAGCTCAAAACCGGTCTGATGGTTCATATGCCACCAAAGACTTGTTTATAAAACACCCGACGAAGCCGGACCGTTGGAAACTCGTAGGAAGGTTGGACGACACCCTTGTGTTGCTAAATGGCGAAAAGGCAATACCACTCCAGATGGAACAATTGGTCCGAATGAACCCATATGTTGTCGACGCGGTGGTGTTCGGCTCGGGAAAGCCGATGCTCGGTATGCTCGTCATCGCGTCTGAGAATGCTCGTGAACTTGAAACAGAAGCCTTCCTGGATATAATTGAAAAAGATGTAGCAAAGGCCAACACCCTCCTCCCTGCGTATGCCCGCATCGACAGAGATATGATTCGTGTGCTCCCTTTTGGCACGGAATATCCCAAAACAGACAAGGGGACTGTGATCAGAGCGGCATTCTATGCTCGATTCGCAGACATCATAGAGCAAACCTACGATGCTGCTGCTGCGGATTCCTCCAAGGAGGCCCGAGAAATGGCCCTCTCAGAACTCGAGGAGTTTCTGCGCAAGACCTTCATTGAAGTACTTGGCCTTAGTGACCAGGAGGTCGGCCAGCTTCAAAACGACACAGATCTTTTCGCGCTGGGCGTTGATTCCTTACAAGCTCTGCGTGCGAGGGCGCAGATTGTCAAGATTGCTACACGTGGCCGTCTTATAGGGCAGAACGTGGTGTTTGAACATCCCAGTATCGGTGCATTAGCAAAATATTTGTCATCAACGGGCTCGAATAATAATTCTAACGAGAAAGAGAGACGACAGGACGCTGAAAATATGAAAAGATTGGTTGAGACGTATAGTAGCTTCGCGTCACATGTGTCTGTCGAGACACCCGCCGAAAGGACGTTAGATGGCCGTGTTATCATAGTCACTGGTGCAACTGGATCACTAGGAGCTCATGTCGTCTCGCAATTGATCAAACGTGCAGATATAATTCGGGTTCATTGCCTTGTTCGAGCATCATCGATCGATCAAGCTCATTCACGGGTGGTCAGCTCATTGCAGCAGCGGAAGCTATGCGATTCTATTTCACCTTTTGAACTGAGGAAGATTTCTGCTCAAGGATCGAGTTTTAGCGAAGAGAACCTTGGACTGAACGAGCAGACGTATCAGTGTATGTTACGGGAAGTGGACACAGTTATCCACCTTGCCTGGGCTGTAAATTTTAATCTTGGTCTGTCAAGTCTCGAAAGTCAGATACGCGGTAAGCCCCGATGTCTTCTCATATGGGTAAGAATCAAACTGATTCTGAAAAAGGCACCCACAACCTCATCAAGTTTTGCCTGTCGACGCACTCCTTGAAGCCAGCAAGGTTTTATTTTGCGTCCTCGATCGCGGCCGTCATAAACACCCCTGGACCGGCAAGGATCCCGGAAAAGATCCCAGATACAACTTGTGACAGTATATTCCACAATGCCCAATTTTCTGGGTACGGACAATCAAAGCTCGTAGCAGAGCTTATCTGTGCTCGGGCGGCAAAGCTCGGTATGGTTTGCAGAGTTTTCCGCCTAGGACAGATCATAGGGGACACCGAGCATGGTATCTGGAACCCCCAAGAGGCGATTCCTCTAATTATACGAAGCGCCATCACAATCGGCGCTCTGCCCGAACTTAACGAGCAACTGAGCTGGCTACCGGTTGATACCGCGGCCAGTGCCATTCTAGACTTGACTTTCCCGCAGGACAGAGACGTAGATATGGATCCGGGTGCGCTGCTTCACATAATCCATCCCACAACTGTCGACTGGAGCCGCGATCTCCTTCCTGCCCTCCATGCGGCAGGGCTGGAGTTTGAACAGCTCCCTCCGAGTGAATGGGTAAAGAGACTACGGGCAAATCAGGACCCTGTAGCTAACCCTCCGATAAAGCTAATCGGCTTCTTTGAGGCCAAGTACGGTAGCGATAATAAGGAGATTGAGCAGTTATACTTCTGCACGGATCTTGCAAGCTACCTATCTCCAACGCTGCATTCCGCAAGGCCGCTCTCACACTCACTTGTGGCAAAGATAGTTAGGCATTGGCGGATAGAGTGTTGGAATGATACCAACAGCGACTTAAGAGGATGAGAAATCTCATGCTCATATCTGAGAGACTCACCTGGTATAGAAATAGAAACAATTATTAGGAGGACAGTGTGTCAATGGTCAAAAGCGGGTAAAGTTCTCGAATGTTGCACTTCATATGTTTCGGCATAGTCCCCCGTCATCAAAGCGTGGGTAGCCTTCGTAGAACGGGAGAAGAAGGTACTGATGGAGAAACCAGGCGTGAAACGGTGATCATCACAAATTACACCCGGAGCGGACGTCGAGCCCTGCGCTCCACTGCCAAGAACCCCGCAAGACTGAGCTTCATCGCGAAACCAACATCGTGTGGTACCGAGGACGGATTACAAAAACGCGCAGAGCGTCTTTTATTTGTGATCTATATTTTGTACTCTCATTATTGGCTATACCAATATTCCTACAGGATCTCAAAAAGCAATCGTATTCCTCAGCACCCCAATCGGCTGCACCTCGACCTCCACCGCATCCCCGTGCTGTAGCGGACACTTTGGATCTTGGAACCAACCTACACCAGCCGGTGTCCCCGTCATGATTGCAGTACCCGCAGGAATCGTGGTGCCTTCGGACAAAAAGCTCACCAGCTCATCCACAGGGAAGATGAAATCAAACGGGCTATCTTGAACCACGCGCCCGTTTACTCGCGTCGTGATCCGCCGGCTGGCATCTGAGGGCGAAAAGACTGATGGGTGCACCAGGCGCGGACCGAGAGGGGCGAAGTTGTCGAAGCCCTTGGCGTGCGTGTACTGTCCGCCGCAAGCACGCTGGAAGAAACGGGCAGTGAGATCGTTGCCGATGGTGTAGCCTAGTATGTGGGATGTTGCCTCGGAGGCGGAGATGGATTTGATAGTGTTGCGAAGGACGATGGTAAGCTCGCCCTGTTTTGAGCAAGAGTTAATAGGGTGCACAAGGAGTAGACAGGCGCTGGCGCACGGATACGTACCTCGAAGTCTGGAAATGACTTTTGGGCTTGGGGTGGAACTGGAATCTCGCTATCCGGGTCTGCGAGGGCGGGAGGAGCTTTGTACCACATTGGTGGACATGTTGGGATGGGAAGCTGCGACAAAATACAAAAGAAGTCATCTTGTCAGCCCACACACATACTTTGTTTGGAACACCCATCTGACGAGCGTACCGATGCCTCATTGGCGTGATTTCTATAATTCAAGCCGACACAGATGATGTTGATTCCCGTAACAGGGACAGGGGCGAGGAGCTACTCATCCGTTAGTCCTGCTCTTCGTTGTTGAAGCGCGTCCTGCATACGGATCACCTACCTTTTCCACTGTGACATTTGTACTCTGGCCGTCAGATTCCAATGCTTCTATGCTCGAAAACCCCTGCACTGTTAGACCAGCCGCTGGTGTGTCTTCTAGAGCAATTGACGCCCAATATTCGTTGCCATTAGTCGCTCGAAAGCGAATCAGACTGTCCCATTGAACCATCTTGGAGTGTATATTCTGCGCGTTCTTAGTCAACTGAGCTGCTTCACGCTGTTTAGCTAACGTAGCAAAAGAAAGTCGCATGCGAAAGAAAAGAAACGAACATGCCTAATTACATATATCTCCAACTTAATAACGACGAAATATACCCTGCGGGGCAAGCACATCTCAATCCAGATATGCCTCTTCAATCGATGAACCATTGAGAATCTCGGCACCATGATTCCGATGCGTCCCGGCCCCCACACAGTTACCCCAACGCTGTAACAATCCACCAATCCCCGCATATGGAACGGGTAACACGGACTAGCATAGCAAGCTGAAGGAGGGGCTGAGAACATTCAGCTCTGAGATTGATATACTCGTCACTCAGTCGATATCTCTCGCCCTACCCCTTTTCACTCCCAGTGACATCTCACCAACTCGTCAAAGGAACAAAAGAGCAACGATGTCGAAAATAACCCCTGGGCGCATCCCACTCCCTGTGGTAAACAACCCAGAGAAGATACAGCTCAACCGCCTCAGTCATGTTTACCACTTGCACCCTGACATCGACAAATTCGAAGCTTTCGCAAAGGATTTCGGATTCGTCGAGGCTTCGCGCGACAGAGATACTGTCTACTACCGTGGCTACGGCAGAGATATGTGCGCGTACGTCGCGAACAAAAGCCACGATGGAGAACGGCACTTTGACGGTGCTGCGTTCATCGCGGAGACGAAGGAGGACCTTATCAAGGCATCGAAATTAGAGGGGGCAACTCCTATCGCCCCTTACACCGGCCCTGGCGGTGGAGAGATCGTCACGATCCAGTCGCCATCAGAGACGAAGATTCATGTGCTTTGGGGAGTGGAGGAGCGTCCGGCGCCGAAGCAGGCAGCGACCGCGACGGAGGTGCACAAAGGCGCTTATAATACCGCGCTGCAGAAGTTCAGAAAGGGTCAGCAACTGCCACGGCACTATTTGAATTGAGGGGTCTGTTCGGCTGATTGTCCATTTCTAGGCGAATTCCAACGCTTCAAACTTGGTCCTGCCATGATCCATAAACTCGGGCATGTCGGCTATATAACTTCCATGTTCGACGAAGATGTCGCATTCTACACTCAAAATTTCAACTTTGTCCCCTCGGACGTTCTCTGGGAGGAGGTCAACGGCCAGGAAATCGACGCCTTGACGTTCATGCACCTGGACCGTGGCAAGGAGTACACGGACCACCACACTCTCTTCCTCTCCCGCGCGCCACCGGAATTCCAAGGCAAGCATAGGATGCACCACTGCTCGTTTGAAGTGGAAGACTTTGATACGCAGTTGCTAGGCCATGAGTACCTGTTGAGCAAGAAGTGGACACCGATTTGGGGTGTTGGGCGACACATTTTGGGTTCTCAGATTTTTGATTATTGGAAGGATCCGAGTGGTTTTGCGATTGAGCATTATGCTGACGGTGATCTTGTGAATGTGGATAATAAGACGGGGCGGGAGAAGAGCGAAGGGGCTGCATCGATGTACATTTGGGGACCTGTAAGACCAGAGGCCGGCGTTGCGTAATTGTGAGGCCCACTGTCCTTCTGTCCGCAATAATATGCACTAATTCTCAATCTGGCTTCCTCTTTCCCATTTTTCCGCTTTGTAAGGATCCCCATCTCCATATTGGACCAGGAAGTAGATATGATCCCTCGCATCATGGGGTTTTGTCGTCTATGGTCTTTCGCGGAGCCTTGCATCCGAGTGTCTTGGCGCGGGAAGTTAGCAGCCGAGCTTCGTGGCTTTCCGCATTTGGGACAGTGATAGCACATTATTTTAGTGGATCTCGGACATTTACTCAGTGGCTTGGTATTTTGATAGCGTGCATGCTATGGGGACAGACCCGTATTCAAAGGCCTCCTATGAAAGCTCGTGTAATGAGATAGCGGACATAACATGCCGAGTCTTTCAATATGGTTGGAGACTGGGTCTCCTTTCTTATTTTGCCATGATAGGTACGCGGGGGGGAGGCAGCCTTCTAGTAGCTGGCTCCCAATTCTGGAGTCGGTCCACGATTGTTTTCATATAAGCATCCTCTGTCTGTCGAATGGTACTGTTTGTATGCGAATAGGAAGTTTAACAATATGAGCATCGACATAGAAGAAACAACGGTCCTCATTGTAGGCGCAGGACCAAGCGGTCTAGCCCTCGGGGCCTTGCTTGGCCGCATGAACATCAAGGTATTCGAATATTCGCAAAAAAAATATATATACTAGATTTGATTAAGACGTTGAATGCTAATCCAGCACTTACTCATATAAGGTGGTTATCCTGGAGAAAGAGGTCGAGGTCTGCGAAGATCCTCGTGGTATCGTGGTCAATGGCGATGCAGTTCGCATTTCGTATCAAATTGGTATTGGAGAGGGATTGACGAAGAGAATTGGAAAAGGTGAGCATGCGAGAATAAACATACTCGAGACATCGCTGCTCTTGCAAACTTTTTTTAGCTTTGTGATCGTGGCTGACGTGCAAATCGTGTGACAAAGATATTGGTGTGCTTAATTTTCACCGAGGAAACTTTAGGCAGCCAACGTTTATGACATTCGACATTACTGTCGACTGGGCCGAACAAGCAGTTTCAAATAACCTCACTCAGTTTCAGCCGAACTATGAGCGAGAGATCCGAAACCTTATCACACAATTCCCTACCTGCGAGATCCGAACGGGATGCGAGGCCATAGCCCGAGAGGAGAATGGTGACCACACAATTCTTGAGTACGTTACGCAAGACGGGACGAAGCGATATATCCGTACATCATGGCTTGTCGGTGCGGACGGGAAGCGTGGTGTTGTACGGAAGAAGTTCCTGGAACCAGAAGGTATCAGGCAAGAGGATGGCTTCTATACTTATGTTGGAACGTGGGTTGCTGCCAATCTGCACATCACGACACCGACGCCGAAATCGCATCCGCAGTTTCCGCTTTGGCAGCTGGGGTACACCCCACAGCAGGTACATGATGCCTTTTGGCCAAGCGGATTCCAGTAAGATAAAACATTTCGCAGAGGAACTACTGCATGCTCGGCTGACAGATATCAGTTTTTGTAACAGTTCGAAAAGACCTGCCGTCAGCGGGAGATTTGGGCCACCAAACTCAGGATTCTGGAGGTAAGACTTCGGAATCTCCTTCCTTTTATTCTAAACCCTCAATACTAATCCGCCCCCTCGGAAGGCACGAATTTTCGGTCGAGCCAGAAGACACCCTTAAAGATGTTGAAGGGGATTTCTGGAAGCAATTCGGATCTTGGATGATCATTCCCGGGTCAAAGTTTTCGTGGAAGCTGCGGAAAACTCTCGTCGAGTTCCCAAGAGACTGCATCAAGATCGTACGGTGCAGACCATTCACGTAAGTAAAAATTTAAATATTAGTGCTATACTCCTACTCTGACAGGTAGGACTAGGTTTGCAACAAAAGTAGTTAATCGATGGTACTGCCGCAAGACGATGCTAGTCGGCGATGCCGCCCACGTCTTCCCACCTTTTGGCGGCCAGGGCATCGCGGCAGGCATTCGTGACGCACAAGCACTCAGCTGGAGACTGGCCCTGATGACTAACCTAGGGGTCTCAGTTCAGATCCGAGAAAGAATCCTGACGGGATGGAGCCAGGAGCGCCGTCACGCGTGGAACGCAGCGACGCTAGCAACCAAACTGAACGGCAGCATTGTGAACCAGCGGTCTCTGCTCGGCGGACTGGTTTATCGAATGTGGATGCGTTTCCTGTGGTGGTTCCCCGGCATCGCGCGGCTCAGAACGCGCCGTGCATTCCGAGACAAGCTCGTTTACAGCTCCAAAACGTGCCCTGACGGTTTCTTCCTGGAGAAGGCAGGCGGTGGACGGAAAGTCGCACAGATCTGGGTGCGCAGACAGGGCGAAAAGCCAGCGCTGTCTGACGGTGTGTTCCTCCGTAGCCTACCGCACTTTGGCCTCCTGGTCATCGTCAGAAGTTCGACAGATGCGAACCCTAAGGAGATCGAAGAGGCCATCAGAGCAGCGGATCTACCAGAGGAGATCCTCACTTCCAAGGACGTGACGTTCTTCTGTCTGAATGTCCAGGCTGGGAACTCATTGAGCAAACTCGGGGCAGAACAACAGACGTACTATCCGTGCCGGACACAGGAGTTGTTGGAGGAAGGCATCACTCCCATCAAGGGATACCGTGAGACAGCAGTGCAGGATCGCTATGCTAAGTCGGCCAAGTATGTTCTCATACGGCCTGATTTTTTCGTTCACTCTGTGGCAGCAAATGCCGGGGAGCTGGCAGCAAATCTTCAGGAGGTCAAGGGGTATTTTTCTTAGGGTTGTTATGACCTAGCTTGTTTGTTGACGTGCCTGTTATTCGTTATAGCCATGTATGGAGTAGCTCTGATATTTAAAATAAGCCAAGTGGTCCGAAGAGCCATCTCTGATACCGTGCCAAAAGCCCGAGCACAGAATGTGGGCTGTCATCCCCGCTCGAGGGGTCAGGTCAGGTCAGGTCAGGGGCAAGCATACATCATAATCGACAGCTCCATCGGCCAGCCATCAGTGATTCTCCGCATCAATGGCCCGTATATTGCTATGTAGAATGGAAGCCTGCGGAGTGATCCTGCCGGGAGACTGATCGCAGCCCCCGTTGGCGTTATTCCGCAGCGCCGCCAGGATCGAAGGCTGGTTGCAGCTCGTGAAAAAAGGGCTGGACGTCCAAAAGGGGGCAGGGCTTGGCGGATACTCTGACGTAAGCAGGCTAGTTAACGTAAGCACGCCCACTGCGGCCAGACCCGCTGGCCAATGAAAAGCCGCGGTTGGCGGGAAAAAAAAGGCTTATGGGCTCCACTCTGATGCGCGCTGCGAGAAGTTCAACGATGACAGCGCTCGGGATCCTGTGAAGCCGTAGGCTGGTCGAGGGAGGGCGTCGCGGGGAGGGAGGGAGGAGAGACTACACCAACATATTGCTGTCGAATCACTTTCAATGAAATTGAATTCACTTGGCATTACCTTCACTTATTCTTCAGCCCAGGAGATATCCCCCTTTGCAATGGTTATTCCAACAACTTCGAAATGGAAAAAAAAAAAAAAAAAAAAAAAAAAAAAAAGTCTTGTTCGTATTGGGAGGGAAAAAAAAGGCGAAAAAAGCGAAAAAAAAACTTGCAGCAGCAAGCTGACTTTGTCTAGGTCAGCCGGACATACGACGGATGGGTCTCGGACTCCGTATTTCAAAATTGACTTACGAAAACCCTCGTAGCTTTCTTATAAAACCTGCCTACGAGTTTACGACTCAATTTTCATAACGAGATCTGGGACAAAATATTCCAATCGGTGCTGGAGATCAAATGACTTCTGTGTCCAAAGGGTTGATCGGCGGGCCGAGAGGGCCCACGCACTGCCTGTGCCTTGGGTGACGACGGTACAACGGATCGACAGCTTTGGGGGGAGGGGTGGAGAGCAGAGTGTTGGGAACCTCAGAACAAGGCACGCACGATCTGTGACTGGGGTGTGTCATAAATCTCCTTCCAAAATGTCGCGAAAACGGCGCTGCCTAGGTCGCAAGCACCACAACACGACGTCGAATTGACTACCTCACCAGTTGGAAGCAAACGATGTGTGCACGTATACATGTATGTATGGAGTACTCCGTATGTATGTAACTAATTAGGCACTACTCCGTATATAACGAGGTGATTACGTGTGTACGGTACTCCGTACAAATAGACATTGTCGGTGTCCACGGAGTTGATGATGGCATCTGAGAAGGCTCCCTTTATGTCTGGGTGATTCGATACCCGACGGATTGACCATGCGGGAAGACGTCGAAAAGGTGAATTTTGCCTGCTGGGGTCTGTAGTATGTATGTCACACGCGGAGGACAGCTTTCTTCAAGAGAAAAGGGGGGGAGGGGGAGGGAGAGGAATGGAAGGCGTAGAAATTGGTGGGGAAATGAAGGGACAAGCAATCAACCCATTGTGAATTGGCAAGAGAGGCAGAAGGATATCGTTCGGTTGCTTTTGAAGTGGGTGAGATCCGACGGCTAACCAGGTTGTTACGTGAAGGGTGTCGCCTCTCAGATCAATGAGGACGCCGATATTATTCATCAGGGAAAAGCCCGCAGAAAAGCTGTGGGGGGTGGGATTAAAGAGGTTTTGGAAAAAAAAGAAAAAGTCACTTGCAGGTTGGGACTGACGCTGGTGTGGCAACTGCAAGTTCCACAAGGAACGCAGAATGCGCATGCGCCATACAAAGTACCCGGAGCCCGCTGTGACTTGGCTCAACGTCCGTTGCGGAAGCGGTCCAATAGTGGTCGCGTGTTCCCTGGGAAATGATATGCTTTTTTTCATTACTTACATACAGCTTTTGAGACGGGGCAGAAAACCCATAATAACCGTCCCCTTCATGTGACGGAAGCTAGTCTGCCTAAATGGGCTTCGAATGGGCTTGTGCGGAGAAAGAGATGAAGAGGTTATCGAGACGGGTGGATAGGCCTTACAAGAGAGAGTAGGCCATCTTCTCGAGACGATGATTTCGTGGTGACAAGGAAAAGGCGAAGACGGAGTGCACCATGCTCACTTATACCACTACTCCCGTACTCCGCTCCTCTTCTTATTTTATTTTCATTTTCATTTTTTATTTTTTTTTCCCCCCCGTGGTCGAGGGGATTGGCGGGCAGAACCCGACGGTCGAAGGACGAGTTGAGGATGTGATTAGGTTTTGGCATTATTGGTCGGTAAGCTTGGCGCGCGTGGCTGATCGTGACTAGCCAACATCCTGTCGAGGTACTGTAACTAAGAGAAGGCCAGCGAGAGAAGAATCAACTAACTTTTGCTGGTCGAAGAGTCGGCCACCACCCTGGTCGGACCGTCCGTCGTGAACCTGGAGGCATGTATGGACATGTACCCGCTTTGGCTGGGGAACCCGGGAATTACTACACAGGCGGGTACGGAGTTCTCGCGAGTGACCTGTGACTTTTTCTCTCGCGGTGAAGTTTGCTCGAGCCAAGAATCGCCTGGGAAGCGAGGAAGACGGCGCGAAGGGGACAGCGACGTCTGCCCCTCTACCACGATGCCTCTCCCCTTGACTCTATGCACCATTGTCTGCTTGACCTGAATGCAGATGGAATCGTATTAGTAGCAAAGATAGTCTTGGTTTCTTCTCCTCTCTCTCTCTCTCTCTCTCTCTCTCTCTTTCCCCCCCTTCTCAGTTACCGGAAGGGGGGAAGTGGTTTTGTAACCATTCCATCGCTCTCACGCCCAGACGACTTCATTCAAACCAGATTCTCAGCACGCACGGTCTGATTTGCTTCTGTGACTGAATACGGAGACCAGCGCTCCGGACGCTACATTCATTCGAATCAGGCACATCGCAGGATGCCACGTCCGAGCGTCCGTTTACACACTGCTGTCTGTAACAATAGTATGATGATGATGATGATGATGTATAAACGTACTCTTGTACTCTGTAGTTAGACTGTGATAAAACTCGGGATACATCGTCCCATAACCAGACCACACACGCGACGGGCGGCGGTTAATTTTATCTACCACCGGCACCAAGTCACAAATATGATGTGCCGGGAAGACGCTGATTAGCTCCAGGGTATCGTCCACTCCCCTGCATTCCCTTGGGCCCAAGGAGGAGGATGGATACCTTTCATTAACGTCCCCCTAGTTGACCATCGCCAAACCACACACCATTCCGTCTGCGAAGCCCTGCTCCGATCGCGTAGGCTGGCGAGCGGACGTAAATGGGAGCAGTGGTTTTAACTGAGCAGTCGACCAAAACAGCGCACCAGGAACAGCCGGACTCAAAAAAGAACACCTCGAACCGGCCAGAGCTTTCGCTGAGGGCGAAACGTTTGTTCTCCCTCTTGTCTGTTTTGCTTTGGGTGACACCAGATGTCTGACCCACTGATCAGGACTAGTTAGCGCCATCAGGTTCCCAGACTTTTTCTGCTCGCCCGCAGCGGATGAGGTTCTCTTGTCGTCAGTAATGAGTTAGTCCGGGCCCAGTTGGCTCGCCCGTAGCTTGTACTTCTCCTCGACCTGCCTGCGCTTTAATTTTTCTTTTTTTTTTTTTTTTCCCTTTCCCTCTTTTGAATATATTTCGAACTTACATACATAATCATGTCAAGGAAGTGAGTTTAACTGCATCTTCCTTTCTCTTGGTCCGGCCCCATCTTATTCTTCCTCTTCCTCTTCCCGTTCTGCTTCTTCCTCTTCCTTCCCTCTTCTTTCTTCCTCTTCCGTGATACTCATCCTCAGCTCTCCCGTCTCCTCGCTATATTCCTTGTCCTGCCGCGTCCTCCTCCCGCCAGCCTCTCAGTATCCGTTTCTCCATCCCGTGTGGTAAGTGGCTATCTCATCAACCTTTCCGTCATCCACCTTCTTCTCGTGTTCTTCCCTTCCCCCCTCTTCAACCTTTGTGTATGTACATACATCCTGCTCTTCTGCTCCACGTCCTCCCCCCCCTTCAAAGCTTCCTTTTGCCCATCTGACGACGGAGCAACAACACAAGCTTCTCTTGCTTTCCATCACTCAACGTATTAATCCGGGAAAGGCCTTGGACAACACGTCTCCCCTCTTAGTCATGCAATAATTTTCACTTTCTTTCACCTTCCCCTCCGCCATCACAACTCCCAGCCCAGTTTCACTCGCAGCTCCGTCCTCTCTCCCTCTCCTTTCAACCTTCAAATGTCCAATCTGCCCCAGGCTCCCGCTCCACATCCGTCTCTTATTTGATCCGTATAACCTTGTTATCACCGCCCAGCTGTATCTCCCTATTTATTCCGCCGCCCAAGCTGCCAGAGCCACAACGAACTTCGGAGTTGGCTCGGCTCCGCTTAAATTCCCGATCATCTCTCTGCTCCTCCAATTCCACGCCCTGCGTTCTCTTCTGTCTGAAAGCATCCTGATCTACTTCCCTTCTCCTTGTGTGCATCTCTCTGATCTGCGTGGTCTGGGTTTGCGGCGTTGCTCAGGCTCTCTCCGCCGCCGCCCCGTTCACCACACCAAATTTCCCCTGCCTTACTTTACTTAGCACGGCGGTTTTGTAACTGTTTCCGGTATTACAGAAAACACCAAGCATCCCAGCGCCAACCACACCACACACCGTTCCTCCACGGCCTATCAGCAGCTTCGCGTTTCTTCCTTTATTTTTTTTTTTTTTTTTTTTTTTTTCTTTTAATATCTCCCTCCCAGTGGATGTGTAACCGTGGAAAACTGCCGTCGTCAGGTTATCCCTGAAGTTGCCCTGTGTCTGCGCCACACATGGCAGCCGCTCAGGATGCCGCCCTCTCCACCGAGAGTGAATCGCCTGCAAAGTCCGCCGCGTCGTTACCCACCCAGTCCTCCTCGTCCAAGAATGGAAAAATGGATAACGCCGCCGATAAGGCCTTCGCTGCCCTCAACGGCTCTCAGTCCCAGCCAATGACCGCGTCAACTTCATGTTCCTCTGCCGCAGATACGCCAAAGCAGACCCTCTCGAGCTCAACTCCTACCCCGGCCCCTTATGGTACCCGGTCAAGGAACAGAGTGGGTGTTCCACGACCAAACTATGCTGAAGACCGCGACCTTGACATCGATCTCGAGCCCGTGAGCAACTCCAAGCCCACCACCTCCAAGAAAGCTGCATCCGCCAGCCACACTACCTCCAGGACCTCCCCCGCCGCCAGTATCGAGAAGAACGGAGGAGTGAGCACCAGGGGCACAAGGAACGCCGCGGGTAACCACCTCTCGACGACGAAAGAAGCTATCCCCGGCACATCGACGTTTTCTGCGAACCCAAACGCGACCAATGGCTCCAAGAAGCGAAAGCAGCCAGGATCCAACACCACCGTCCAAGGCTCGTCTACTCCCACCAGTACAAGTGCGACGAGTAGAAAATTCATTGTCCCTGCCTCAAAATTGCCTGAAATGGCGGCGCCGACGAACATGATGACCTTTAACAACTCCAAGGGCTGCTTGAAGAATGGAAAATTAAAGGCGGATGACGGAACTGTTCTAGCTCCAAATGGTACCTCTCTACCTGCTCTACCGTCTGCCTTGTGTGAATTTTCATCCTCTCTTCTTGTGAATCGTAATCTGACCTTTTTTTTTTTTCTTTTCGCTACCTTATAGATCACGTTTACCTAATCTGCGAGCCTCCCGGCGAACCGTATTACCTTGCCCGAATAATGGAGTTCCTACCCAACAAAGATAATCCGTCCGGCCCCATCGAGATGGTCAGAGTTAACTGGTACTATCGACCTCGCGACATCCAGCGCAGAGTCTCAGACCCGCGCCTGGTGTTCGCTTCCATGCATTCCGATACGTGTCCATTGACCGCCCTTCGAGGAAAATGCCAGATCGTACATGCGTCAGAGATCAAAAACCTAGAAGAATTCAGAAGAGGCAGGAATTGCTTCTGGTTTGAGAAGATGTACGACCGTTATATCCAACGCTATTATGAAGTGGTACCCACCAGGCTGGTTATCAATGTCCCGCAACATGTGAAGAAGGTCTTGGACGAACGCTGGAAATTTATTCTAATCGAAGTGGGACGATCAAAAGAGTACACAGCTGATGTTAAAACTTGCAAACGGTGCACTCAATATGCTGCCAAGTATGCCCCTTTACCCTGCAACGTCCCCATCCTCCTCTCCGGCCCATATTCCAAAAGCGAGAACTAACAGCCTCTGTAGCTCTGAGTCTGTCGATTGCGCCGTATGCCACCGTACCTATCACATGAGGTGCGTTCGCCCAGTTTTACAGAAGAAACCCGCTCGAGGATTTGCCTGGGCTTGCGCTCCCTGTAGCCGTGCGCAAGACAAGAAAATGGAAGCGAGAAACACGCCGATCATTGGTGAACTGCAGCAAGAGCCTGAGCCCGACGCGTACGAAGAAGATGAAGAAGAACCGTTGCCTCCTGCGGAAATTACACAGAGCAGTAGTCCTTCTATACACGAAGGTGTCACCCACTCCGCTACACCTGAACAGACCGCGCAAGCGAAGCTTTGGCCTTTTAGATATCTAGGAATACATTGCCGCGTTGAGGAGGCGTTGGAGTACGATGATAGAATATACCCTCGAGCTAGTTCACGGATCGGCTCCCGTCACCAGGCTAACGTCATTCCGTGGTATGGCCGTCCGATCAGATACGTGAAGGCCCCTGAGATGAAGAAGAAGTACCTCAAGTCGAAGAAAGACCCTAAGATGTCGAAGGAAGCCCTTGCCGCATTCGAAGCCGACAAAGCCGAAAGGGCGAAACGGCCAAAGTGGATCCTAGACGAGCCACCCGGCTACATACGTCGTGGCGAGGATGAGCCGATTACTATTGGTAGTAAGCAGGTCCGAACGGCGGAGTTACAATTCAAGATGCCAGATGTGTCAGATCTTCCAGCGCGTGGAGAGGATGATACTCCTGGATCGCATTTGAGCCCTGAGGATCGTGAGAAATTTATGGACGAATACATGGCCGAGGCCAAGAAGATCGCGCCCCTCAAGGGCATCGAAGAATATTCTACGAACTTTCTGGATAAGGCGCTGAAATTCCTATATGAAGAAAATTTCAACAAGGACGCGGCGCTGGCCAGGTTGGGCAAGATAAACAAGTACACCGACCTCAAGGAACCGCACCTTAAGCCGGAGGAGGTGAAGCTTTTTGAAAGTGGTGTTGCCAAGTACGGTTCCGAGCTGCGCCTTGTTACCAAACATGTTGGTACTGTACCACATAGTCAGATTGTGCGATATTACTACATGTGGAAGAAGACGCCAAAAGGTCGTCAAATCTGGGGCAATTTCGAGGGTCGGAGAGGCAAGAAGGCGCTTAAGAAGTCGGATAACGCAACGGTAAAATTGGTGGACGATATTGCCGATGACCACGACGACTCCGCATTCGATCAAGACAAAGCTGCGAGCAAAAAGCGAGGATTTAGCTGCAAGTTCTGTTCGACGAAAACTTCAAGACGATGGTGTCGAGCGCCGTTTGTTCCCCCCGGCACAACCACGACCGCCGAGCCATCATCCAAAAAGGACAAGGGAGTGGTTTACACGGTCGCATTGTGTCAGCGCTGCGCTTTGTTGTGGAGAAAATACGCTCTTCAGTGGGAGAATCCCGATGAGGTCGCGAAAAGGATCTCTCAGGGAGGTACGAAATCGTGGCGGCGCAAATTCGAGGAAGAGCTGTTGGGTCAACTTCTTACGTATACCGAGTGGGATATGAAGATCAACAATACCACCGCTACCACCGCTGCGTCCCTCGGCATTCATGTGGTATCTGATATGACAAGGGATACTGCAGCCGAGCCACCCAAGAAGAAGACGAAGACCTCGGACAAGGATTCTGCCACTCCAGCCAAGGAGTCTCCAGTGGATCAGGTTCCCAAGAGAAGAGTAGTCGACAAACCAACAGAGCCACCACCCTTGCTACCAGAGCCACCCAAACCGAAAATGCTTCCTTGCGCGATTTGCAACAAGATGGAACCCGGTGGCGATCAGCACCTATCTTGTCGAGATTGCCGACTCTCCGTCCATCGCGGTTGTTATGGCGTGAGCGCCAACCGAAACGCGGCCAAGTGGTTCTGCGATACTTGCTCGAACGACCACAATCCAGCTATATCAACGAGATACGAATGTGTTTTGTGCCCGGTTACCTGGACAGAGCATGAGTTGATGGAGCCACCCAAGATATCGCACAAGAAGAAGTCCGACCGCGAGCGCGAGAAGGAGAGATTGGAAAAGGAGATGGTCGCCGAAGCCATCAAGCTCTATCGTCAACGACAAGAGGCTGCTGGAAAGCCCGCTGGCCCTCGGGAGGCGCTCAAGCGAACAGCCGGAAACAACTGGGTCCATGTCACCTGTGCCGTCTGGAATCCCGAGATCAAGTTTGGAAACGCAAAGGAGTTCGAGCCTGCTGAGGGGATGGGGTTGATTCTGCCGGAACGATTCCAGGAGACCTGCAAGATTTGCAAGACGCAGAACGGCGCCTGCGTCACCTGCCATCTATCTTCTTGCAATGCTCGTTTCCATGTTGGGTGTGCGCATCAAGCCGGGTACAGGTTTGGGTTCGACGTGACTCCAGTGAAGGTCAGCAGAAGAGACTCTGTAAACACGATGAAACTTGGAGAAGAGTCCGGCGCGGTTACGGCGGCAATTTGGTGCCCTCATCATGTGATTCCGTCCATCGTGCATGAAATGAGCGAGCCTTCTGGGGTTGACGATATGAATGCCCTTCAGCTGTACGCCCAGACTTGCAAGCAGGCCGATCTTACCCTCACCGGTACCGTGCGGAAGGCGGCCCATTTCCAGCAAACCGTGGGAGCGTCGATGAGTGGGCAGACGGCATCGGCTCGACGTGCTGCTGCTGCGAACGGGGCCAGCTCTGGTCACGCGAGAAAGGAGAGCACCAACGCTGCTGGATCATTGGTTGAAACGTCGCCGAAGATGGATCGTGGTGCCAACCACTCGAGTGAACAGAACGGCAATGAAGCGACGAATGGTGTTCCGGATGCGAAGAACTGCCATCACTGTCAGACAACCATCAGCCCGAGATGGTGGCGGTGCTGTGTGAGTCAAGAGTTGCCTGGCATGGCTAGTCGCCAAGCGCCGAACGGAACTTCCTACGACGGTGTAGCAGATGAAGGAGATCACAGGAGCTCCATGGTGAAGACCGCAGAAAAGGTCTTGTATGAGTGTCATAAATGCCACTACAGGAAGTCGGAGTCTCCAGCAGCCCCTGAACCTCGACCTTCACCGTTTGTTTCCAAGCGCGATTCAAGCTTGCCCGCCAACCGAGGACCCGAATACTCCCATCATTCATTTGCATCTCCCCGCACTCAAACCGTCCAACAGAGTCCCAACCTCCATATACCTCCGATTGTTCCTCTCCATCCGCATGGGCAAGAGTGGCGACCCGATTTCGAGCAGCGACCCGGTGACTATGCGACTCCGCTTCTTCGAAATGGGATCCCCCCGGGGCCACCAGGACATCCAGGGCCGAATGGAATCCCCCTCCCGCCGCCAAACTTCCATTCTGGCCCACCGCAGGGTTCGCACATGAATGGCTATGCACCTTCCCTTCCGCCGCCTCCGTCGCACTATTCCGGTGCCGTACCACCTCCACCTCCACACACATACCCGACACATCAAAGCCCATACACACCCGTCCAAGGCCCATCCACGAGTGGTCCGCCTCAGATGCCCGCGGGTAGCCATCCATACACATCCACCTCGCCACCGGCAATTCATTACTCACCTCAACCCTCGATGAGCGGCTTGGCACCCGGTGCTCCTCCCGTTCGAATGTACCCCGTTGAGAGAGCCATCGCGCCCAACCTCCCGTCCCCGTCTGTATCCCGTCGCAGCGTAGACCCTCAGCCTCCGGGAACACCGGGAGCGTCGGAGCAGCACAACCCTGGGGGAACCGAGCCATCCTCGACCAACGCGCCGCAGCGACCTCCAAGCTCTGGTCGTGCAAATAGTGGGAACCAGGCGCCTGTGGCCGCATCTGGAGCGAGTGCGAGTCCGTCGTTAAAAAATTTGCTTCTTTGATAAACCATAGCGGGTTCGGAAAGATAAAGAGGAGTTTTTATGTGTGTTTATTTTCTTTTCTTTCATACTTCTCCAAAGTCCTTACTTTCTGTTCATGGCAGGTTCTGTTTCTCTCCTTTTTTCTTTTCTTTTCTTTTCTTTTCATTTCTTTTCGTTTTGTTTTAAAAGGATGCTCGGAAAGCAAGGCGGACAGGATATGTATATGGGTTTTCGTCAGTGGGGTAATACACCGGTGTCCCTGGGTTATGGTGGTGTTGTTTACCGAATGAGTGCTGGTCATCGCCGGTTTCAGAGATACCGTAAGTCACTCCTATGCTAGAATTTATCGAAGATGTCTCTTGTCAAGGCTTTGAAGATACATTGTGTATTATTTATTTATTTTTCTTTTTTTTTTCCAGCTTCGGCTGTTAGCTATTACTCGGAAGGTGTGTATTGCATCGTACTTTTGCGACAATGAAGAGAAAAGAAAGTAGCGCGACTCGATTGAATCAACAAACATAAGGGGGTAATTTCTACAATTTGAAGGCAAAAATTTGACTACCGTGCTGCCAGTCTGCTCTTCGGCGTGTGGTTAATAACAAAAGAAGACAACCAAAAGGTCGTGGATGAGTAGGAAACTCGCCACGGGTTAAAAGAGGGACACTCTTCACAAAAGTCAAGGAACAACGATTCAGTCTACAAAACCGGAAGCGAAAAGGAGAAAACTTTTAGTTATAGATTGCCTTTTCTCGGGAACGCCACACCTTCTGTAGCTTTCCCATCCGTGAACCAGCTCACTCTGTCTCCGGCCTTCTCGTTGACCATGCCACAGGGTAACTGCTTGCCTTCCTCCGTATCGAAAATCTGCTTCATGACCTCCTTCTTGCCCTCGCCGGTGGCCACAAAGGCGATTCTCAACCCGTGCGTAACGACCGGGAGAGTAAGGGTGATGCGCTTCGGCGGCGGCTTCGGCGAGTCAGAAATGGCGGCGACCCACGAATCTGATTCTTTGAGGAGCTCGTGGCCCGGGAATAAGCTGCAGGTGTGCCCGTCAGGGCCGCAGCCGAGCAGGATGAGATCGAACACGGGCAGTTTGACGCTGTCCTTTGCGGCAAAGGAGTGCATGAGCTCTTCCTGGTAGAGGTCGGCGATGTCTTGGGGGTCGTTGCTGAGGTTGGTGGTGTCGATGGGGTGGATCTTGGGCTGCCCGAAGGTAGGGGAGAGCTTGTCGACGAATTCGGTCTTGACGAGGTTGTAGTTGCTATCTGGGTGGTCGAGGGGGACGACGCGCTCGTCGGCGAAGAAGATGTCCCAGTGGGAGAGTTTGAGAGTATTCTCGTCGTCTCCTCCCGCTTCGGTGGCGGAGGAGGGCTGCTGACCGACAAAGGCTTTGGCTAGGATGGTCGGGAGAGAGCCACCGGAGACGGCCACACGGAAGACATCGTATCTCTTTAGGGCTGCATTTTGGGAGTGGAGGACGTATGTCCGGAGACGCTGGGCCAGGTCTTCAGTGTTGTCGAATGTGTAGAGATGTGGGCTTGCTCCCCCCATTGTGATCTGCGAGAGGAGCGTGATTAATTTGAGCGTTGGCAGAGAGCGAGTGTTGGTTGTAATGGCTGGTTTGTCGCTGCGTATGCTCGAGATCGAAGATGGTCGTCTTGCTTAACAACTGCTGCCAGAGAGATTGCTTGGGAATTGTGGGAGATCGCGCTGCGGGGCTGTTCTAAAACTCCGCCACTCTGGACCTGACTAAGCGGTTAGTGCACACTCTATTTTTGCCAAGCCGCACACAACACGCGCGACTAGTGCCTGTGGCGCCGTGCTAGCGTATCGGCAGTTTAGCAGACGCGTATTTTTGATGTCATCGCGGGGTTCCAAAACATCTGTCGTGCAGTCAACAAACCAGACGCCCAAGGCCGATCTCTTTGCTGAGACATCTACAGACGTTCTCTGCGTCAGACATCAAGCCTCCGTTGCCGCACGGTTATTAAATTAAAACGTCGAATTAATTGATTGAGGAAAATCACCCTCTATACAATCATGCTACCCAGTATGTACTGTACATACATCTGTGCCCAGATTACCTTGGTGTAACTCTGGGTTCTATTAGTTATCCAAGAAAAAGCAGAGAGCTCCATCTTTTTTGTATGCTGTCCCTAAGATCCCTATGTACTTTTACCTTGAGCGACTCAACGCTGCAGGTCAACTCTTCCGCTCCTCTAGCATCGCCCCAGCATCTCTTCCAGTGCGCTCTTTTCTGCGCTAGTCACGGTCAGGTCGTACACGGACTTGACCCCGATCCACATGCGGGAGTAAGTGCAGTAATAAGATTCTGGTATTCATCAGATCAGCGAGGAATTTGCCCAGAAAACCCCATTGGAGACGCGAGTAAAAAAAAAAAAAAGGACAAGGGAGAAAAGGAGACAACATACCCAAAGGAGGTTTCCAGTCCTCTGGACCCTTATCACCCTTTTCTTGGTTAACGTTATCCGTCACCGCGATCAATTGCGGATTCTCCAGGTCATTGGCAAACTGCCGCCTCCTTTCCGTTGTCCACTCTCTCGCACCACTCTTCCATGCGTTGCTCAGAGGGACTACGTGGTCGATATCCACATCACTTGCTTGATCCCATCGACCCCCATCGTATGGACTGTACCAGTTTCCCTGTGTGGGGTAGCAGTTATCGTCGATGGTGACGTCTGTGCCGTCGCGTCGTAGCACCGTCTCACGCGTGTTGCACTCGCCGGATACCGTTATCCAGTGGGGGAAGAGGTCGCGGGAGTAGCCATCCTGCGGACCCTGCGGAGCCACAGTGAGCTCGGCAAGTGCGGCGCGGGCGGCGGAGGCGGAGGGGATGTTGGGCGGGGTGAGAGCGGACGCGGGAGCTGAGGCGCAGAGGGGCGCGGCGGAGAGTAGGAGCGGAAGTACGGCCGAGAAGAACATGTTTACTGTCTTCGTCTGCCGGATACACTGTGTCCTTTATAAGACAACTTAGTGGTGTCGGAGTGCTCAAGAAAAAGGTTCCTTGTCTTGAGGAAGGATACTCTCCTGATGCCTCAGAGACGAACGCGAAACAAACAGGCGAGGGACGATGCGGATGAGGACGGATTATATAGTATCCCCCGACGGCCATATCTGTCCCACTCGCTCGTAATTCCTTCCATCCCGCCCCGTACTCGGCGACTGCGGGAGGGATACCATAAAAAACCGATCCCCAGTCGGTGCCGAAGGAGTGTCGATCATCATCCACAGAAACGCTGCAACCATCGCACGAGGTTCGGTTGCATTCTATCGCTCGGTATTTACAGTTACCCGAGCCGGATAGATCCTCCCTTGTGAAAGCACAAGCATCGAACCCGCGCACGCCATTGGGTATCAGATATTCTGCGAGGAGTGATCGCCTTGACAGGGATTCCCCCCAAAAAACACGGAATGACCGAAGCATTGACCCTCGACACTCCTCGAGGGCTGCACCCCAAGTTGGGGGTTTGAAGGACCTTCTCGTAGGATAACAATAAGGTTCAGAAACACGGTTGACGGGTTAGTTAAGGAATAAACCCTTCTCCTGCTCGCGGACTCCATAATTTGGCTAAAGAGTAGATAATATTTATCATTCAAAATCGAGATAATTCCAGTCAATCTGCTTGTCAATTCTGTGGTCGATTTATGTGCATGGCTGTCGAGATATGGTCTAAAGTGCGAATTGGTGCAGGAACCTGCAGCTGTTTGGATGGTAAGTAAACATTGTTGGGTGGTGTGCAATTGACTGGCTCTGACTCGCCAGCACCGCTGATGCTTCCCTGGAGCCAAGGCTGACGATGAATGGGATCAATCTAATTCCACCGGACTTCCACTGGCTTAAGAGGTCACCGACGACATCGCTCAACATCATCGTCTTGCTTCAGCGGGCTCTGACGCTTCGGTTTCTGACCCCGCCGCCATGCCCAGCTACACCAACTTGCCGCGTGGCCCAGAAAGTACCATTTACGAGAAGGACAACGGATTTGATGAGTTTGCGGTACAAAGATCAAGTTTATCAAAGGGTAGAAGCAATCAGACAACATCATGTCATTCATCGATATGTGCCCCAGCTGTCACTGCATACCAAATGCACCACTTTCTTACCTGTTCCGGTCCCATAATAATCAAAACCCTAGCTATGTGGACAATGGATTTAGTGACTTGAATTGTGCTTGCTGTGAAATCAGGGCCTACTGCAGTCTTCAGTGATATGGCAGATGTGACAGGGGTTATTTGTCAAAGTTTTATGTATACATATTGTCATTGAACCCAGCTGCCTTTTCTCCTCATATGATAGATGCCTTCACACATGATTCTGGCTTTCTAAGTGCAATTCTGATGGAATACCTGCCAAGTCTGTTGTTAATGAACTGTGTCATCTACAGCAAAAAATGAATGGCTAGGGCAGTTTATGGCATTCAACAGATTCATTCAGGGTACAACAATCCTTATCACAAGAACATCCTTATTGTCCTGGTGCTCTGGATCTCTGGATCTCTGGGATCTCTGGATAGATTTTGATGTTGTAATCACCTATCCTGACAGCACCTACGTATGTTGGAGACAGCGAATATGGCTGGATTGAGTTTGAAACAGAATGCTTTGAAAGTCTTGGGATGAAGATTGTTGATGATCTACGGAGTAGACAATTAAGGTGGCTCACCACTCAACGAGCCAAACCACTCAACGAGCCAAATTTTCGCACCATCAAATTTCTTCAACGCTCAACTTCATTATGCAATAGCATGGTCAACAATGAAGCAATTAAGCTTGCAATTGAAGATCTTGAATTGCAAGAGACTCCAAATTACAGTGCGACCGTGAAAAAATATTCACTCAGCCAAGAGACCCTGCGCTGGTGGTATCAAGGCCTACAAGTCAATCACCATGAAGCAACCTCCAGACATAAGAAGAAGCTCACCAATATACAGGAGGATGAGCTCCTAGAGTATATAAACAAGCTCTGTGACCGCGGCCTTGCTCCTATGTCTCAAATCCTTCGAAATATCATGCAAGAGATGACGGGAGAGGACATGGGAATCAACTGGGTGACATGGTTTTGTGAGCGCCACAAGGACAAGATCAAGACTGTTTATCTCAAGCCGCTTGACAAGAATAGACAGGTAGCAGATAATTACCACTGCTTTCAGCACTTCTATAGTCTTGTAATTTGATGCTTTTTTTTGCTTCTTTGCAAGTGCAGTTGTTGAATTTGGCTAACTTGTTGAGTGCTTGCACTGCTGCATTTAGTTGAGTGAGAAAATCAGCCAGTATAATATTACACTGGAAAACACATACAACTTTGATGAAAAAGGATTCCTCCTAGGCTCCTGTCATGCCTCAAAGCACCTTGTCTCTATTAAAGCCCTACAAGCTGGTAAAAGTGTTGCAACTCAGGATGGAAGCTGGGAATTCCTCTCACTGCTCTGTTCAGTCTCTGCAGATGGGATTGCATTACCTCCAGCTCTTATTTATCAGGGTGAATCCAGAGATCTTCAGGATACATGGCTGGATGATTTTGACAGAAGTGAATATGCCTACTTTGCAGCCTTAGTGAACAGCTGGAGCAATGATGAATATGGCCTGGAGTGGTTGCAACGGGTTTTTAATCCGCATACAAAGGCAAAAGCAGGTAGGGCAAGATGTCTGCTTCTACTAGATGGGCATTCTTCCCATATAAATATGAAATTTATTGAATATGCAAACCGCGAAAGGATCCTGCTGTTGATCCTTCCACCACACTCTACCCACTGTTTGCAGTCTCTTGATGTTGGTGTTTTTGGGCTGCTGGGCAAGGTGTATTCCAGCGAGCTGGAATCCCTACTATGCTGTGGACTGGGCTATATTTGAATGACAAAAAGGGATTTCTGGAGACTATTCAATGCAGCATGGAAGAAGGCTTTGATGGGTGACAATATATGTGCTGGCTTTGCAAAGACTGGCATTTATCCCCTGGATCTCCAGCATCAACTAAGCTGATTTGAAACTGCTGATCAACAAGGCCCTGCATCACTAGTTGAGCCTTCCATCCCTACAAATATACAGGAGCTTTGTCAAGAGGTTAAGGGTATTCATCTTCAGCACAGCTTAAATTTGCAGAGTATTGGATGGGTTATCAAAGCCAGCAAGCAATTTGCAATATGAAATGAACTGCTAGAGCATGAAAATTGGGCTCTAAAATTGACTATTGTGATGGAGAAACAGTGCCGCAAGTGAGGCAAGCCCCTAGGCCTACTTGATCGCGATAATCCGAGCCAGGCCCAGTTCTGGAGTCCTACAAAAGTTCTGCAGGCTCGGGAACGCTGGGATGAAATAGAGGCTGAGAAAGCTCACAAAATTGCTCAAACACAAGAGGCAAAGCTTCAACAGGAGCTCCAAAGAGAGCAGGCAGCTAGGGAGGCTGAAGAAAAATGGATTGAATGAGAGACTGCCTGTATGAAGGCCCGCGAGCAATGAGAGGCTGAAAAGCTTGAACGTGCTATACAATGAGAGGCCCAGCGTGTTGCCTGTGAGGAGAAAAAGGCTTTACAACAAGCAGAGAAGGAGAGACAGGCTGTTGAATGTGCTAGTAAATGCTGGCAGTCAGAGCTTCAAGCGCCGGCTTCAAAGCGCCGTCGGCAGGGCCTCCCTATGAAAGAACCTTGTTGTGGCAAGCCTATACAATCTTCCCAAAGCAGTAGTAAGAGCTTTACTAGCCTCCCTAACAAGCCTTTAGGCTCTCTAGCTGAGAAATCTACTGCTGACATTCCTTTACAATCTTTCCTATCCACCCCCCGTATCTCTCGCTCTGGCCGCAATATCAGGCTGTCCACACGTTTATTTTCATAGCCACACTAATTTCTATGCTTTAAAGAACACACTCATTTAATATTTAATAGCTAGTTTAATAATAATAATTCGTTGTTGAGATAATTAATAAATTCGTAGCGTGGAGCATTGGAAGGAATTTGGCTCGTTGAGTGGTTTGGCTCGTTGAGTGGTGAGCCACCTTAACGAGTTAGTTAGTTATGTTTGTGGATTCTGATTCCCCACCATGTGAGGCAAAATGAATCATTCAATGACAGGGCTATTCATGAACCTGTATGAATAGTTGCTGTGGATTGCCCCATTTTGTACGGAGCACTCGGTAAGAAGTACGGAGTATGATACAAGCATCTAGCAAAGCCTTTATTAGCACCCGCTAAATTGAATCTTCGCGCAACATCTATGGAGCACTCTTAAGGCCGCTCCCCTAACCGCCCCTAAAAGATACACCCAAAGGGCCTCTAACCCGCCCCTTAACCAAGCCTAAGCAGACTAAAGCATAGGGGCCGCAAATGCACAAGCCCCAAGCAAAACCCCCTTTCCCCGCCCCCCTCCACAAATGGAAATCGCCCCGACCTGAGAGCGTAGTCTTTCAGACGCTTCCCAAGGACTGGCAGCTTTCCTAGGCCGAAATTGAAGCCTGTCCATTACTTTTCATCATAGGCACGTCGAACATGGCCACAGTTGATAGTTGAAAGTGGTTCATAACTACGGCTCGAGAAGAAGGATCCATGGCAACATACGCCAAAAGGCAAGGTAAGGCATTTGCACTGCGATTCTTCAACAAAGCTCAAAGTGTGGCATGCCTAGGATAAATATCGGCCAACTCAGTCAAACTATATATGAGTTACCCCGGAAGTTAGTTGGCGAGATTGGTTACTGGCTTTAAGTTTGGCAAAGCTCCAGCTAACAGATTTCACTCTGGAGATCCAGGACATCTCATCAGAGTAATACCTCCCCTTAGACTTTGATCATGGATTAAGCATAAAGGAACTAGAAAGTGCACGGAGTACGGAGTATTCCGTGTGATCTTGAGTGGCGTCTCCCGTGTCCCCAATGATAATCTGCACGCAGTACAGAGTACTCCGTACAGGAACTGGACTCCTGACGATGGGCCATCACTGATCTGCAGAGACAGGGGGCTTCCCTGCAGTGGAGCATTTTTGAAGATCATTAGGCTTTAATGCTACCCATCATAAAGCAAAAAAACCTTCTAAAACATCTCTGGTTCATTTATATGATGGTGGTTGGTGAATTTCTATAAGAATTGCAACAATAAGTCAAATATAGCAGAGCAGTCAGATGTCAACATGGAGCCCTGATAGCAGAAAGGAAAGGACAGTTCTGGTCTAAGTCAAGCAATAGCTCAGGTGCTTGTTTACCGTGTTCCGTCTCCTGTTTGGAGTATGCTGGGGTCAAATGACCAAGTGTTACACGGATCCCTTGCCAGCCCACCTTTTCGACACAATGTCTGATGGAAGATGTCTGCTCTTGGGGTTGTTTGAAGAGCATGGGAGCAAACAAATCAGTAGTAAGTTGACCAAAAAGCGCGTGCAGGTAATGGTAAAGCAGATTGTTCAACGAATCAAAGAATCTATGTTTAGCATAAAGTTGTTAAAATCCATTCATCTGATTTTGTGCCTTGAAAACTTCCCCCTGGTTGATAAAATCTAGTAGAACAACATTGGGTTTGCGATCATATATCGAGTTGCACAGATCGACATGTGCGCCTATGCTTCCTTCGCCGGTGGCTGCATTTGTCTTTGGCGCTCTGATGCGATCGGGGACGATCACACCAAAGATATCAACGTTCAGTGTGTGATTTACCAAGTAGAGTCTTCCGTCAGCCTTCGCGTTTGGAGGACGATCGATCTTGCATTGCGGGAACTTAGGATCGGTGGTGGAAAATGGCGTCTCAAAGAAGTAGGCAAACTGGTCCAAGATGTATGGAAACTTGGGCATGTCTGCTTTGTAGTCTGGTTGAAAAATGCCGCTAGAGTCAAACCACCGGTACCACATGGGCGTATTGCGGTTTATAACTTACCTAGAAACACGATCAATCTTTTGCCGGAACTGATTAAGTTGCCCAGCATAGGCCAGGAATCCATCGGCAGAGCATCCGGGGCAGACGGCGGAACAAATACGTATTTCTTGATTCCGCTCTTTGTAAAGGCCTCATCGAATCTGTTGACGTCCACGTAGTCGCCATTCGTGAGAAGGAGGGTGACCACCTCTTCGGGATGGCCATCGAGCCACGTCTTGATCGTGCTCAGGAAGTCTTCAACGGGTCCTGCATCCTCGAGAAAGCACGACGTATGGCACATGTTCAGGGTCTTCTTTTCTTCGTGTACGCGTGTCTGGCCTTGCAGGAACCGAATGCCCAGGTCAAGTTGCTTCGTTACAGAGATCTCCTGATTGTGCTGGGGCAAATAGCCGACAAATGGGGAGTTGTGCGCGCCAACAAGGCGGACATCTGCGTAGCGACGAGTGCAGTACTCAGTGCGGCCATTGCACCTGGTCTGCGCAAGAAGACCGGTAGGCAGCAGGCATGCTAGTAAAACGAGCGGAAGAGTCAGCATGGTAGCGTAATGATAACGCTTGCGGCGTGGTGCATATCAGTGTGTCTGCACTGTGGTAGAGAGCGAAGATGTCATGCCATGGACGCTGCCAGCGAGAGAGGAAGTAGAAAAGAGAAGAACGTAAGAGGGGGGCCGGCGTTGGGAAGGCGCGCGCGCGGCGGGGTAGCGGGCGTTTATATATACAGATCGGGAAGGCATGGGGATACTCCATTCTTATTTATTTATTTATTTATTTATTTTTTGGGGGGGGAGGGAGGGAAGCTGCCCACCAGCAGTCAACAAGCAGAGAAGCAGAAAGGGAAGGAGCACGCAGACGGCAAGCAGAGCCGCTGAACTGGAGTCGAGCGGGCGATCGCAGAGACACGCCAGAGAGAGACACGGAAGAAGAAGACGCAGACGCACTCGGAGAAGCAGACGCGCATCCCAACTGACCCTGTCATGCGGCAGCGGTGGCATCGCGGGTGTGCTGGGGCTGGGCGGGATGATAGGCCAGTCCGGGTTCTGGGTCGATGCGTGAATCACGGAGAGGCGACGACGCAGGGGGTCGCTCCTCAGGGGATCAGTCGGCCTCGAAGGATGAGGAGCTACATTGCTCTGGTCCTATAGACGCCCGTGTCTCTCGTCGGACAGCGTGCAGAATGCACCATGTGAAGCCTTCGCGGCGGGCTATCAAGATGGTGGTCGAAATGCGATGCTCCCCCCGGCGGCTAAGGGTCCGGCGGTGCGCCTTTATCCCTCTCCTTCTCCCTGTGTTTGAGATAGTTAGAATTAAAAAAAAAAAATAATACGCTAGAAGTCAAATGCCGTGATAAATACCTAGTCCTGTGTATATGTAGGCTCCCGGTTGCAGCTTGGTGGTCGTGGTTGTTGAGCTTGAACCTGCTGCATGGGTCAAAGAAAACATTTAACTATGGATGCCAAACAACCGTCAGTGCCATCGAGCAACATCATCCATCAAGATCCTAACCGGGCACCTCACCCCGACACAACCTCAGTTTTCGCAAGGACACTTCCTGTGGATTCTGCCATCATATTTTCCGAATTTTCGGCCGTCGAACCCCTCTTACCTACGATTGCACTTTCCGGGCCCTCACAAGCTACCCTCCATCGTTGCGGGAGGCTCCAGCGATTGGTGCTCGACCCTACGACACGGTATTAACCTACGATAAGCTTTAACGGAGCTGAAGCGATGGTCGATCGGCGAACCGACCGATGAGCTCCATGACCGAAAGGGGTGGTGATGATGCAGCCCGCGACGATGTGATAGACCTACATGATGAGGAAGAGCAGCAGACGCTGGCTGTCAATGGCCGGGAGCATGCACAGGCGTCTCCAATTGAAGACCAAGACGCGTTCGACGAATTTGTCACACCCGACGACCCGATATCGATAGCGGTTACGAAGGATGAAGACGATGGCGCTGCGTCACAGCAAAATGGAGACGTCGCTGGTTCACCTGGGATTTCCATCCGGGGCGCCGGGAGCATCGACGACGCGGGCTCCGTCCCAGACGACACCCCATCAATCCAAGTCCGTGATCGATTGTCTCACTGCATGCTATAATACTTCCACTAATGGCTTCTTTAGGGTTCCATCCAATCCTCTCCGAGTAGCGCGCTGGGTTATCGTCCGCCCTCCAGCTTGGGACATAGCCCTCACCGTCCGTTTGACCTCCGGTTTCAAACACGTCTTTCCGTTTCGTTTCCTGGTTCCACTCGGTCGATATCACCTTCACTTCTTCAACAACACTCGCGCCAGTCTTCCTTTGCCAGCCACATCCGGTCGGATACGCCTGACCTGTTGGAAGAAGCGTCCCAGACTCCGTGGGAGGTTGTGCGATGGACCAAGCTCAGAAAGCTGTCAGGTCAAGTCCTCTCCGAGGCAGGAAAACGGAATTTTGGACGTCCAACCTGCATGGCGGTTTCTACGCACATAGTTTTGGGGACGACGAAAGGAATCATACTGGTGTTCGACTATCAGCAGAATCTAAAGACGATAATCGGACCTGGAACAAAAGGCATGCCGTGATCTCAATAAGACACTAACAACTGAAACTGACTTTGGCACAGCAATTGCGTCTGGATCGATCACTTCCTTGGCCATTTCAGCAGACCACAGCACCGTCGCTGGAGGACATGCCGATGGCACCATTTTCACCTGGGAAATCTCGAGACCCGCGCGCCCATTTCTACATATCCCTCCTATCAGCGCAGCGGAGAAGGATTTCAAACGAACCGATGGCCACATATCCGGTGTCGCTGTCGTTCATATGGGCTTCTTAGGAACCCGTCGCACCGCCTTGGTCTCGGCTGATGATCACGGAATGGCGTTCTCGCATCTGGCAACCCGGGGGATGGGAGCAGTCGCCCGTACAGTCAGGACCACAAGAATACTGGGCCGGTACCCTGAGAGTGCTGTGCCCACTGGCCGTGTAAGGAAGCCTAGCACCGTGCTTGCATTTTCCCCTCTTCCCTTAGGGAACGTCGAGCAGGCCACGGACTCTTTAGGCCTTGTCGCAATGCTCACCCCTTATCTTCTCGTGATTGTTTCTACAACGCCAGTTGCCCAAACCCAACATAAGTCGGCGCGCCCCAGGGAAGTCCCTGCTCACAGTGCCATGACGGCTGCGCTGGCTTGGTTCCCTGCAATAAAGTTGAAAGCAAAGGATTCAGGAGTTTCTAATACCAAGCTGGTATACTGCTGGTCCAATGTTCTGACGATCCTAGAAGTTTTCGAGGTGAAATCCACAGATCCCGCGGATAGAGATAAGCCTCCCAGCTTTGCGTTTAAGCCGTTCGCTCGGTGGAGGGCTGCTGAACCCATCGTTGCAGTACAATGGGTAAGCCGCTCGGTTTTGGCAGTCCTGACAATAACGCAACAACTCCTCATCTTGGAAGACAAGTCACTGCGTGTGACGGATTCTTTTGACTTATTACACAAGCATATTTATCATGCGGACCTTTTCTCTAGACAGCTTCAGAGCCTCGTAGAGCAATTGGACGAGGAGGATCAATCGATGCATGGAGTAACAGCAGACGCTTTTTATATGGGCTTCAGGGCTTATAAAGGACGACTCTTCCTTTTAGGATTTAATGATGTGTCTGTTGGCACGTTGTCCAACTGGGCCGACAGACTCCTGGCCCTGATGGAAGCCGGCGATTTTATCGGCTCTATTCGTCTTGCCACGTCCTTTTATATCGGAAGCTCCGAGAAGCTCACCGTTGGCTTACCGGAGGAAGATGATCTTAGACATGAGGTGGTGCAGGAAAAACTTTTGGAAATGATGAGCGCTTCACTGCGATATGCATTTGGCAAAAATGAAGAAGCGATCACAGAGCGCCTCCAGCCCCTTGAACTTCGGAGCCTTGCTGAGGTGTGCATCTCAGCATGTGATGCTATGGAAGATCAAGAGTTTTTATTCGACGACGTATATTCCTGGTACGAGGAAAATGGGTCAGAAAATGTTTTCCTCGACGTCCTTGAACCGTACATAATACAAGGCTCAGTTCGAACATTACCGCCGGGAGCTGTCAAGTCTTTGATTACGCATTTCTCTACGAACCATTCGGCTAGCCGCTTAGAAGAGATTATTTGTCTTCTCGATACGAGCACCATTGATATTGACCAAGTTACTACCTTGTGCAAGCACTATAACCTTTATGATGCCTTCATTTATGTGTGGAACCGTGCCATTGGTGATTACATCTCGCCTCTAAAAGAATTGCTGGATTTGGCTGCGCATGTTACCTCCACCGCCGTCAATGGCAACGCCGATATCCAAACGAAAACCCATGCAAACGCCTTGAAAATGTTCCCTTACTTATCCTATATCCTGACGGGTCGAATATATCCCACCGGCGACGAACTAGAAGAACATATAGCGTCGAAAGCAAAAGCGGATATTTATGACTTTTTATGCTCTGGAAGGGATTCTGAGTTGCAGGAAGGTCATTCCTATACTCATTTCAAACAACTTCGAACGATGTTGATGTTTGATACCCCGGCATTCATGAGTATGTTGAATGAAGCTTTTGAGGACGGCTTTTTAAACGACAATACAGGAGATGAGGAGCAAATATCTGCAAGGCGTATGCGCAGTGGCTTCTCAATTAATCGCCAATATTTAATCAGCATCCTTCTTGAACTTATGGGCCCTTCTTCAAATTTTACGGCAGCCGACACTATTTATCTGGACATGTTTATCGCTCGCAATCTCCCGAAATACCCCCAATACATTCTACTTTCTGGTTCAATCCTGCATCAGGTCCTTGTCAGGCTATGTGAATACCCCAATGCAGAGATGTTGGACGATTGTCAACTCAGCGCGGAGTATCTACTTTCGACATACCACCCTCCTGACATACTGAGTTTGATACCTCTTTTCAAGGAAGCAAAGTTTTTCCGAATATTAAAATCCACCTATCGCATGGAAAGGCAGTACCCGGAATTGTTGCGGATGTACTTGGAGGATAGAGAGGATCAAGAACTCGTCTTCACTTGCATCTATGATTGTCTTCGATTGGGATCTTCGTTGACGGGGAAACAGCGTCGTGATGTGCATTCTGTCATTAGAGAGCACGCTGCTGAATTGGCACATATAAATGTCGTTGAAGCAGCTCGCACAATTCAAGCTGTGGCTACCGACTTGCATGACGTTTTCGTTGAATCTCTTGAGCCAGTACCCAGTCTGCAGTATCAGTATTTGAGCGCCTTATTATCAGAGAACAAAAACAGCGTCGAGGTCAGCCCAGAAAAACTCAATCATGTATTGGTTGAGCGATACATTCAGTTGATGTGTCAGTATGAACCGTCGCGCGTTGCAGAGTTCGCAGACACTTTGAAAGTCGGAGATTTACAGCTGGACGCCATTCTACCTTCAATTGAAAGCAGCGGAATTATCGATGCTGTGGTGATTCTTGTTGCTAAACAAGGGGAAGTTGGTAGTGCTATGGAAAGATTAATCAAACACTTCGGGACTCTCGAAGCCGGATTATTAGGAGTCCTTCAAAGTGCTGAGGAAAACTCCGACTCCACATTCTTGACTAAAGCTATCATTGATCTCATTCAGGCACTTGAAAAGTATACTCGAGTCGGAATCTGGCTATGTCAGCAGCAGACGAAATCTGCACAAAGACCCTATAGGGACATAAAGCTCAGCAAGAGAGGATCCGTATTTGAACAGCCATTGTCCTTTGATGAAAACTTGTGGCTCATGCTGATTGAAGCTGTCGTCAAGATCGCTCAAAATATCTCCCCGTTGCTAACAAAAGACTCTTCGGTAAATGAAAGTATCAAAACCGCTTCTCAATTGGAACCATATGTGGCTAAACCTGGACAACTCTCCGTTTCCCTTAGGACCTTAGTACAGCATATATTTACGGCATTATTAACCACGACGACTAAATCCGGGCGCATGCCTGCCGACAAGCCGGATCTGTCGTTTCTACGTATACTCCGTGCATTCCTGACACGCGCTGCCTCTGCCTCCCCTTCTTTATCTGAACTGCGGGCGGTAATCGCGTCCATATTATCTGCTTATGGTTACGAGGAGTCGTTGCTCTCTCTCACGAATTCGATGTTAGATAAGGATCTTTTCGTTCACGTGGATGAAATCACAAAACTGAGGCAACGAGGATGGAGGGCGAGGGGCCAGGTATGCGAGATTTGTCGGCGGCGAGTGTGGGGACCCGGCTCGGGAGGTCACATATGGGAAGCTTGGGAGGTTAGGCAAGAAGTAGATGCGAAGCGGAAGCAGGATAGGACGATTAAGGAGAGTCGTGATCGCGACTTAACCTCGAGAGGGAAGGGGAAGGCTCTGGCTACGTCGCAAGCTACCATCGGTCCTGCAACGGGACATGGTGGCGACAGCAGAGTTGAAGAGCCCCAGGGCGGCGGTGGGCTTGGCCGGGGTCCCGTGGTTGTGTTTGGTTGTAGACATCTCTATCATCGCTCTTGTCTGACGGATGAGACTGAACGACGGAGACAGCATGGTCCGTCTTCGTTGTCTATGCAGGGGAGTCGACACCTTCATGCTGAGATTGGAAGTCCTGAATTCTCTTGTCTATTATGTACAGGGTGTCAATAGTGGGCGGATGGGATTGTTTACTAATATCTAACGACCACGTAGCTGATATGTACTAGGTAGAGAGTAATCTAAATACTGCTCATTATTAGGTGGTCCACTGGACCAGTGCTTTCATGAAGTACAGAGCAGGCTGAGTATGCAAACATATCACAAATGTTGCTTGGGGGGCTTTCTGAGATTGGCACACCAGCCTAAAACATCCATCCTACTGAAATTTGTTTTACAAGAATTTCATAAATGCATTCACCAGGCACACACTGGAGCATGAAAACAGATGATATCTCTGGCCCTTGTCTATATAGATGATTCAGTGAGTAAGATGATGTGCTCAATGTATAAATGAGTGTAAAGAAATGAGATTGAATAGAGATGATGGCACTATATCCTAATGTTTGATACAGACATTGGCATGGGCTGGGCTTTGACTTTGTTTGTCTGATACACTGATAGGGAGGAGCTTCAAGAGCATGAAAAGAGTGAGAAAGAATGTAATGAAGTTCAAGACTTCTGAAGAGCTGTACTCTGTAAAAGAAATTATCTCCTGTAATGATTGAACTCCACACAATTTATATGATGAGGCAGTAGCTCTCTTTTCAGAACTCAGGAAAATTGATTTGAAAAATATGTTGGAAAAGAACAGAAAGAACTTTTGAGACACAAACACAGTGAATAGAGAAGTTTTGTTCACAAAAGCCAGAATAATATGGAGGTTAAAGATTTTTATATGTCCTAAATTCTAAGATCCTACAAAGAAGATAAGCAATTACTCTTTCTTTGTTGACATAGCTAGAAGTTATAAATCTATAAGAATGGGATCTATTCACATATATATATGATATTACACTTTTGCATTTCTCTGTTAAGTGCACACACAATTTATGAATTTGGAAATTTGTGTTGATGATCAAACTTTGATTGATTCTTTGGAATGCAGTGTGACTTGAGGTTCTTTCAGTCCAGTAATGGTGATGACCTAGAGCCAGTCCTGATTAGCTGAAATTGGATTAAGCAGATCCTTGGTAAATCCAAAATGACAAAAGATATTTACATTGAGGATTTCTGATATCATCGTTGCAGGTGAGCTTCTTATACGGAGTACTCCGTACATATGAAGGAAACGTTCGGCTAGGAACCTGGCAAGAAGTGTCCCCATCGCCTGAGGTGAGCCTTGGAAGGGCCACTTCAGAATGGAGAAAAGAGAGCCCACTTCGGCCCGCCTCTATCGTTGCGGCGGAGAATAGATAGTTATTGTCTAAGACTTATAGTATCGGTGCCAAGATACCCGTGATGTCCCTTTCAGGCTGCTCCGACTGGCGATGAAGAGACGCTTCCCTTCGCTGTTGAAGTGAAAGTCCGGCGGACATTCCACACCACCACTCACAGACGACTTGGCTCCGTAGGGCAGGAAAGTCGCTGCCCGACTTCGAATTCAACCCATGATTCCCATTTTGCGTCAATCCGCTCATTTCTTTATGTCATGTTGCGGCAAGACTCACGCTGAAACATTCAACAATAAAACTCCAAGGAAGAGTCTCAAAGTTACCAGTAATGGTTGCAAGCGACTGCGGGAAGCCTTGGGAGAACGGGTGCACATCCGTGAGTGCCAAAGAATACTGTTTTGCTTTCTCACGTGATCCAGCTGTGGGCACCGCATACTTACCCCATACATAGTTGAGTCTCCTCTCGCGAACATCGAGTGAACTTACCGCTCAACGCGTCAAAACAAAAAGGAGTCTGAAGATTCTCCTCTTTGGGTTTTGAGTCAAAATTCATGCAAACAGCTGCGAATTACTATTCCTTGATTTTGACTTGGAATCCTCGCGACTTTACACGGCCAACGTGCCCTTAAGGCCCCGGCACTATGGAAGCCCAGCTAGCACTGCTTCGAGAACAGCTTAGAGAGGAGCGACAACGTCGAGAAAATGCAGAAGCCCTTACGAAACCTACCGACCTACCAACCTTTCTGTTAAAATGCCACACCCTGTCACTGGCCATCAACGTTGTGACCGACCCTACCCAGACGACAAAGGGAGACACAGCAAATGCAACTCGACGCTACTTCCCTTCACAAATCATCCCATGGGATGGATTCATTGATGAGCAAGCCTGCATTTGGGATCGCTTCCACCAGCACCCATCATTTATGTTGATGTCACAATTTCCTTCATCTCACCAGCTGGACTATGTTCTCACAACAATAAGGCCCATAACTGCAGAGATGGATCTGCGATACTATGAACGGGATACTGTCGAGAATCAAGTGCAAATGGTGGTGAATGCAGTTTATATGGATGACCTGCTGAAGCAAGCATTCGAGTTGGCTGGATCAGTGACCTTTGAGAGTCATACAAACTTGGGAGCTTCCAAGCAAAGCCAACCAGTTGAGGAGGGGATGCAACACCTGTCCATTGACACAAACAAATCCACTACTGAAAACTCTGGTTCTAGAAAGGGAAAGCAGAAACCTACTACGGACAATATCCCAATTAGAGGACAAGCTGATAGGTTTTGTGTCTATCGACGAGGCAATGGTGAAGATGTCCCGGCGATTGCTATTGAGTACAAGGCACCACACAAGCTGACTTGTGAGGAGATTGCAACTGGATTGGCCCAGGAGATACGTCCTACCCAAGATGTGATCAACAAGGAAGAAGACTCAGCTGAGTTCTACTCAAAGCGCTTGGTCACTGTGGTTGTCACCCAACTATTCTCATATATGATAGGCAAGGGTGTGCAGTATGGGTACATATGCACTGGAGAGGTGTTCGTCTTCCTTCACATCCCCAAAGATCCATCAGTTGTCAGATATGCGATATGCGTTCCAAATCTAGATGTTCAGGTTGGCCATGAGGAGGATTTCAAGTTAACAGCAGTTGCACAGGTTGTTGCATTTACCTTGCGGGCTTTGGCAGCACCCCCTCCTCCACAGGAATGGCATGATGCCGCAAGGGAGCTTGGCATCTGGCCGGTGGAGTACTCGGAAATTCTAGCGCAAACCCCACCTGGCAAACGACTGAAAGGTCGCAAGGCTCCTTTGTCCGCATATCGTGGCAAAAAGAGTGACCTTCCCCCGTTTCATATGATCTTGAGATCATGTCGACCGACCGAGAATCGCCTTGGCAATAGATCTCCAAGTCCTCCGGCCCCCGATTCTCCCTCACCTGCCAACAGGAGATCTAGCACTCGCGGAAACCAGCCTGTTGTTCAAGCAAGGGGCCAGCGCGTCAAAAGTCAGGGGCAGGGGCGAAGTGGCGGTCAGGGGAAGAAGACGAGCATGACTATGCAGATAAAGGATCGACCGTATTGCTCTCAGGAATGCCTCCTTGGGCTGCGGGACGGAGGACCTCTTGACCCATCATGCCCAAACTTCCAGGATCACCGTGGGAAGGCCCCCCCATCCCGTAGTTTCTTGAAACGTATTCGTTGCCAGCTTGCCGTGGATCGAGGTGACAATGCGGATTGCCGCCCGCTTTATAAGGCAGGAAGCTATGGGGCGCTATTTAAAGTACGGCTTTCCTCCCATGGCTTTACTCTGGTGGCCAAGGGAGCAAGGAGGGAAAATCTCAGCGCCCTACTACATGAACGTGAAGTTTATGATAAGCTACGTACCATTCAAGGCCACCATGTCCCGGTCTGTCTTGGTGTTGTGCGGCTGGAACCAAAACGCCCATACTACTATGATGAGGGGAGATACACTCACATGCTCTTGCTCAGCTGGGCAGGAAGATCTATTTCGGAAGGTCTTGGGCCCATGGGTCCATCAATCTCCAGCATGGTTAAATGTTCAATTCGGGCAATTCACCGGCAAGGGGTTCTCCATGGGGATGCCGAACCCCGGAACATTTTATGGAACGATATAAACCAGCGTCTGATGATTGTCGACTTTGGACAGGCTTCGATACGACATCCTTTATCTAGTGTCTCGCCAAATAGTTCGAAGAGAAGGCTTCCTAAGGCAAAGGTTGGGGATGCATATACTGTTGAACTTAGGACTGTGCAGGCAAGTATTGGAGCTTTTATCCGGAATCGCGAAATGTGAAATATCGGGGACACCTATGGTAGACGCTCATGGCCGCATCAATATTCTCTAGTGGCGGGAGGAGAGCAGTTGAATAATGACTGAAAATACGTCAGCTCTCCAGAGCGTGACTCGCCTGCGAAGACACAGCAGGGAGGCCCTAGCCACTCACGACTCACACCGTTTCCTTCTCGCGTTCAACCTCTGGCCACCCGTCATCTCTTGGAATACTGGGTATAATAACTCTTTAATGAGCTCCCTACGACGCAGACAACGAATAGCCAAAGTGGATTCCCTCCAATCTTGCCTCACAATAATCGAAGGTTCCGAAGGATTATGCCCGACTATATTTCCAAACACGTCCTCGCCTTCAAGAGGCCGTTCCAACGATGATCAAAATAGCAAACGCCTATCCACCCTGCGACTTCTCGATGTTTGCCACTGATTGCTCGGATGGAAGATGCCCTGAGGACAACGGAGGAGGTACAGGGTTGAAAGTCATCCTCTAAAGAGGAATAATCATTTCGAGTATCCTGGTATTCAAAAAAGGGTAAGAAGTGTTGGATCCAGACTCTCATGTTTACCTCTGGAGTCAATAAGTAGCTAGTTCAGTTTATTCATGAACTCAGCTTCCAGATCAGGAACACATGTTGCCAGTCATGGATATGTGGACTCAAGCCGATTGGAATATTCGCGAAGCCCGTCATTCCCCGGAGAAGCCGGACTCGACAATCATGAAACAAAACGGGCGTCCTGTACGGCTATCTGGAGAGGCAATACAGTATGAGATTGAAGTGGCTTTCGGCCACGTGCCAGATGAATCCGAGATCAGTTCGAAGGACAAGGGATCTGAGCTGTAAATAATGGGGTGCTAGTGTTGAGGATTGCGCACAGAGCAACTTGCACCGCTCTAATGCTCTTGACAGTGTCCATAGACCAGCCAAAGATGACAGCCGGTTTGAAACCCACAGGCGACCTGTTCCTCCTTCAAAATGAGGCTCATTGGGGTTCATCAGCCCTGCAGGTGCCCGCAGCATAGGCCTTTCATATCGATTAGTTAAGTCCCTCCAACAACATTGGACGTTACCCTCATGATGACCGGTACAGACTCGTCGAGGTAGTCTACCTGCCGTGAGTGGAAGTCCGAAAGAAAATGGTTGTAAGAATCGTATATATATAAATATATCCATTCTGTGGACGGGGAGTCCCCAGAGTATATACCGAGTGGGCGAAGAGAAGAGCTTCGAAGATACGAGTAATTTACAAAAGAAGTTCAATCATGTGATTTCTCAATACCATACCATACCATTCAAGGGTCGTCGTCACAGATTTGGGATGGACTTTGCTTAGTCACACAACAGGATGAGCTCGACTTTTCTGCAGGTCAATCAGGATCCTGGATATGGAGTCCCCTGGTTTGGGGTCTGTCGCTGGGTCAGGGGTTGCGCTGAGGCGAAAAACCCAACTCCGGTCGCCCCGTCATCCCTACGCGTGCATTCGTTGGTGGTCGAAACGCAATCCACTTTGTTTCATCCTTCTTCTCGTTTCCCAGGCCTCAACTCCTCGCTGGCTGGCGTCCTCGCTCGATGCCGACCATCGCGGCCCACCAGCCACGTTGTTCCTGGGCGTCAAACTCCTTGGCGCCGCAAGCGAGGCCTGGACCGAGGACGAAGCTGTCAGTCTCGCCAATGAGCTGGCATAGCGCAACCCTTGAGGGCCGCCGGTGCGAAACCGAAGGAGGCACTCGGATGGCGCCGGTTTAGTTTTCCCAGGGATCAATCGCGTTCCAGAAAAGTCAACCTCGCGAATGTGGATGCCCTGGATGGAGTCTCCACCGCTTCTCGAAATTCCTTTCCTCTTTCCTTGGAACCAAAACGCTGAGGACAGTGTAAGGCGCGATAACGAAATTCGCCCATCAAGTTGCTCCGAATTCTGTGCACCCAAACTCGGCTTGTTTGCGTTGGCAGCACAGTGTTTCCTTGCGGAGCACAAAACACATGATGGCCCAAGCGACCGAGGACGCGTTGTGAGAGGGAGTGAGGACGTTGGCCGACTCTCTGCACGACATATATACCTACTCCGTAGTTCCTGCGCTTATGATGAACGAGCGAGCATCATTAAGCACAAGCTACGGAGTACATATGTTGTCAATACTCCAAAAAAAAAAAAAGATATGGGATGTATCGTTCGCCAAAAAAAAATTTAGAAAGCGAACTATCAAGGTCATGTAGCTAACGACGGAGTACATATGAAGATGTCGTTATTCCTTTTCTTCAGATTGAGATACTGTCAGAGCTGCCTGTCCTCCCCATCAGACCCTGCGTTTCCACGAATTTCATCGGTAGCAGCGAGGTGATTCGTTGCTGAGAGATACGTGCAAGCGCCATGCAGGGTTGCAACCACCATACAACCCCCCCACCACCCATCGGGAACAAGGATTGAGAATCATCTGCTGCACGCGATGCTCTGGTGGTTGGTTTAAGATATTAATTGTTGCGGAATATGGAGAACGGTAGACCGCATGTCCGTTTGACTGCTCCCATTCTCGCCGAAGCCGGTGCACCGGATATTTTCTTCAAAGCCCTGGATTAATATATGTGAAGCGGGCTAGATTTGGGGTCCGTTCCACATTCAATATTGGCGCCAGCAAAGCCAAACTCTGCTAGGAGATCCACTCATGTTTGGGGAAAACTGCCGACCAGGCCATTGTCAAGCAGGCAAATGGGAGGCGATAGCTTCACCTGATAACCAAAAATCGAGTCCAGGCTCCGTCCTCCCCTTGTCTATCCACCCCTGCTTCTTTGTTTCCATATGTACTTAAACTATCACCATGGCCCTCCGCCTGACTTCTGGGCCTTTCTCATTGTTCATCCAGTGACCCTCCTTCACTCCCTTGACCTTACGTTCAGGTCATTCACTCTTTGATCATTCTTGTCTGCCCGGTCTTTCTGTGACAGGTCTTGGGGCACACAAGCTTCCGCTCTTTTAAAGCTATATCTGCTGTATATCTGCTCCGTACTCTCTTTAATATCTAGCCGAACCCCCTGCGACCAGTATCTTCGTTTCTAACTTTCTCGAATCAATCTTTTGGTGCCTGGAGCACTTTGAATTATCACCTTTATAGACGCAGATCACAGTCTAGCGACAATGCGTGCTGCCAAAGTTACACTGTTGGCTGCTCTAGCACAGCTAGCGGCTGCCTCTTATGAGTTGATGGATGACTACAACCCATCAAATTTCTTTGACAAGTTTGAGTTCTTCAGTGCAAGTGATCTCGCTTCTCCAGACGCATACGGAGGGGGAGCCGAAGTTTTCTAACTTTGCTGTAGGGGCGTGATCCCAGCAACGGATATGTTGCCTATCAGGGAAAGGAGGCCGCCCTCTCGAGTAACCTCGCCCAGAAACTAGAGAATTCTATCCGTATTGGATCCGATTCCACCGATATTGCTACCGGTCCCGGGCGGAGGAGTGTTCGTCTGGAGACGAAAGCGAGATATAAGCATGGCTTGATCGTTGCAGATATCAAGCATATGCCCGGTTCGATTTGTGGTATCTGGCCTGCATTGTGAGAGGAACACTAAGATTCGTTGATATATTCTTCCTTAGCTTCTAACTTGTTCCATGCAGCTGGACTGTCGGTAGTCGTTGGCCCGAACATGGCGAGATGGATATCATTGAGGGAGTGAATCGGCAGTCCATCAACAAAATGGCCCTTCATACCACTGCGGGATGCAAGATCAACAGCAATGGAGATTTCACCGGTGTTGTCGAAACACCTGACTGTGATGTCAATTCTCCCAACCAGGCCCCTAATCAGGGTTGTCTCTTCACGTCCAGCCAGGGGAACAGCTACGGTACAAACTTCAATAACAGGAACGGCGGTGTGTATGCCATGGAATGGACCAGCGATGAAATCACCGTTTGGTTTTTCCCGCGCGGCAACATTCCCGATGACGTGAACAGTCAGAACCCTGATCCGTCGAAATGGGGTAAGCCCTCGGCACGGTTCTCCGGTGATTGTGACTTGGATAGATTTGTGCAGGATCAACGAATCGTATGTCGAGTCATCTCTGAATAATTATTCAATCTTGCATTCTGGGATGAAGTCCTAACTTCGTGGATAATATAGATTTTCAACACAGCCTTCTGCGGCGATTGGGCTAAGGGGCTATGGAATTCCGACTCTGTCTGCAGAGCAAAGGGGCCAAGCTGCGAGGACTATGTGAAGAACAACCCCAAGGACTTTGCCGAAGCCTACTGGGAGATCTATGGCATGAAAGTCTACAGCAAGGGTCAAGGTCAGAAGATATCCTCGGCTGCAACTTCGCCCACCCAAGCCTCCACCACTCAAGTTTCCACGACACAAATCTCCTCCGCCCAGAGCGCCAGTGCTAGTGCTTCCGTCAGCGACGGCCCTGACACGAGCAGCAACACTCCGCCCAGCGCCACAGAGAGTGGTAATGCTTCCTCCATCGAATCCCGCAGCACTGACGTTGAACCCACCAAAACCCCAACCGGAACGGATGGTGGTGCATCCCTAACAAACGCTCCCTGCAACGGGCCTAACTGCCCGAGCCAATCTCCCACTACCAGCGGCGGTGTCTCTCCAACCGACAAGAGCGAATACCCAGCCAATCCGGGCACGACAGGCGGCAGCCCTCTTCCTACCAACAAGCCCGAAATTCCATCTAGCTGCACGCCACGCACTACCTGCGTGACCTACACCAGAATTGAAACCGTCACCTACATCAACAAGAATCCCGCTCCATTCCAAACTGGCGTCCAGTCTCCAACAAAGGCTAGCGGCGATGACGAATCTATCATTCCTATCAGATGATGTGGATTGGATTTAACATCGCCAAGGAGAGATATCCAGATGGGAGCTTTGATCTCTAGGTATATTCGATGCATAGCGTAGGGACAATTTAAATCTGTATATGCATACATTTCGTGTTTGTGAGATAAACTTTTGTTTTCAGAGACTTTTTGTACGCGGAGTCAGAGGAATATGGTGTTTTCAACCAGATTTTTTTTCAATATATACCATGTGTCTATTATTTTGATCGCCGAACCTATTCCTGTGGCTATATTCCCGTAACTATATATCTTCAATTGAACTGTGACGGACACATTGAAAATACTACCGGCTAGAAGGATATGTAGTACCTTCTATAGTCAAGAGGGAATCTGGACTTTCCCAAAATACTCTGTTGGCACTAGTCCCGGAGGAGCGCTGGAGGCAGGCTGCTTTAACCCAGCTGCCTAAGCTCTTCTCTAGGTAGGTGGTGCTTTTGGTTGTTGTTGCATTTCTGAGCTATTGCTATTAGACAATATTGTGCCTGGAGAGTCAGATAATCATGAAAGATAGAATCATATTGAGTAATTATTTGCTGAATAACATCAAGTAGTTTCTTTCTGTTCTTCTGTGTGCTAAGCTTCTTTCTGAATATCTGTTGTAGGTGCATCTCTTGTTCAACAGAGTGATATAGTAATTGATATGTGTTACAGTCAATTTTCAGTTCATGTTTAATCACCAACACTTTCCAATCTTTGACTTCCAGTAATCTGGTGCTAGCTGCATGGCTTTGCCTGGAGGATGTATTCCTGAGGACCATTGTCAGTATTACTTGAGAAAATCACTTAGTAAATAACAGATTCTCAAATTGAATTACATGTAATAAATAATCAAAAAAAAAAAAAAAACTATGCAACTCATCAAGTTCCAGAATACAAAACATGAACTGGGGCCTGTAAAGTCACTGTAAGAAGTTGAGAGATGTTATGGGTCACATGACTGACTAACTAACAAGTTAGTTAACTGAGTTACAGAGTACTCTGTAACTAGTTAGTCAGTTAACTAGTTACTCCATATTCCATACAGAGTACAGCTGTGGAAAATGCTTTAATCTTCACCAATATAGTTACAGAGTACAGATGATGGGGCCTCAAAGTCATGTTGGAATATATATCTAGCTGTATGACAAGAGTCTGACAGATATGCACATCTGTTGTATGACTAGATATTATGGCCATCCAACTGACTATATAATTATCATGAAGGTGTTCTATTTGTATTTACAAACTTTAAGATTCTGTCCAGCAATTACAACTGTTTTCAGATTTTCAGCTATTGTAGTATTTTGAACATGAAAGACAGCAGATGCATGTCTTTTCTGTATTCTATTTTCAGCAGAAGATAGTCAGATTGGGGTTCTTTTTAAAGAGATAGAGTTAAAAGTTTCTACCTCTTTGTTTAGAAGAGATAATCCATTCTCTATATTAAAGATCTCTATAGAGATACCATGAACTACAAAGACTCCTGTAAGAATTCGCCCGCTAACCCCTTACACAGACAAACAACACCCGCGAGGGCTCAGGGCCTTGGCTTGCAAGCTGTTGGGAGTACATGTGTCTGTGCAAGGCACTAAGTCATGTGCTTGCAAGCACACATAAAAGACTGCCACTGCACAAACCTCTTGTTGGAAGCCAGTGGCAATCTTGTCTACAAGTTGTACATAGCTGCCAATACCAGACCTTTTACCTCGCGTACTCTTTTCTACGTACAATTCCTCTTATAGATTCATTGTCACGCTGATCCACACGTACAATCCTCACAACTCCCCAGTGCTCATCTTTGTGAATTTTCATGCTCTCTGTATCAAAGTTCATTAGATCTGAAAATATAGATATCCAGGTTTGCTTGTGTTTTTGAAGAAAATCAGCTGAAAAGTCTTCTGTTATTATTAGAATTAGAGATTGGCCTCTAAATGACTTAGCAATTGAAGAAATAACTGGTTTTTCAGTAATATTTGCTTCAGTAAAACTGTCATTTATTCTATTTCTGAAGAAGAAAGCTTTATTACTGATCTTTTCAAGTACTTGAGTATTCATCTTGAGAATTAGTCTTTTTTCTCTAAAGAATTTTGGCTCAGAGAACTGTTTTTTATCTTTTTTACCATTTACTTTAGAGAGTAAAGAAGATTTGACTGAAGATTCAGTATTTAGTCCAGTTTTTGGAGTAGAAGAATATGATTTGGAAGTATTACTAGCAGATACTGTAGTGGGGATTCCAGTACCATATTAGAACAAAGGTTGTTCTGGTCTGAGGTGCAAAACCCCCCCCAAGCTACTATCTCTGAGCTATATAAACCACCCATAGCCCCTGCATTCTGCTCAACATCTTTGTGCATCTTTGTACTTTACTACACACTCAATCTTTATTGCTAGTTTAGTTATTAGTTAGAGAATATGAGAATCTCTTGTTTATGAAGCTTACCACTGTTTCTTATTAGAGCTGCCTGTATTAGTACAGGGCTCTTTAGTACTATTATTTCTTATAAGCTTAGGCATCTGTTAAGGCATGCTTCTCTGTTCCTACTACTTGGCCATTACCATCCTTACTATATTGTGATTTTTCATTCTTCTTGCACTACCACCATCTCAACCAACTTATCTACTTTTGACAAGGCATCTTATTATATTCTGCTTCATTTGGTGATCAAGCTGAGACCTGAAGATGATAATGCAGTGATTTGATGGCTGCCAAGAAAGAAAAACAAATTCTGAGATACATGAAGCATAGGCTGGTATTTGGGACCGGGACAGGATTCCATTTCCCATTGAACCTGGTCCTGGTCCTGAATTTAGAAACAGCCAGGATCCCAAATATGAAATCTCAGTCCCATGTCCCATCCCACTCAAGAGCTTGAGGTCCCATTCCCATCCCTATTCCAGAAATTATTTCCTGGTCCCATTCTCAAATAGAAAATTATGTCCCACATTCCATTCCAGCAGAGATGGTAGACTCCCATTTCCCATTCCAGCCAGGTCCATAGTGGAACCAGGATGGGATCAGAATTTCCAGTCCCATTGTGTCAAATTTATAGAGAAGAGTCAAACTGATCAAATTTTGTGTGGACCATTACCAAATTTTGTTACTTTTTTGATGAAGGCAGAACCCATAGAAAAATTAATTTGATTGTCAAAAGAAACAAAGTATTAAAACTAACTAATAGCTGAAGCCAGTAAACAAACAGAAACTGCCTAAATAACAAGTTAATCATTATTGTTATTATCTTCATCATCATTATTGTTATTATCTTCATTATTATTATTATTCTTCTTCTCCCTCTTCTTCTTCTTCTCTTACTTCTTCTTCTTCTTCTTCTTCTTCTTCTTTTTCTGCTCCTCCAGAACCAGCTTTGTGAATCAGACAGGGGCCCTAATATCTACCATTTGACAGGCAGAGACTCTAATGGCATCAGAGAAAGGCAGAAAGATGATGATGGGTAGTAGTGGTGGTGATGGAGCAGCAGCAGCAGTAGTTGGTGGGACAGAGACAGCATACAGGTGGTGGATGGTGACAGCAGAAGTAGAGTAATCAGATGCATTAATTGGGTCAAAATAGTTTAATCTGATTTTAGCACTGATGCCAAGAACAAGCTTCATATTATTGATGTTGACTGTAATGTGCTTATGGTGCACCATTGCCATAACAGAGCCTATATTACTTAGTATAATTGTTGATACCATTGCTAAGAGTAACTTATACTTAAACAGAGTGTACAAGATTGCTTCAGCTGTCTTCTGAAGTGACTTAATAATAGTATGTTGCCAGCAATATTCATGTTCTTGATGACAGGACAAAGTAATTTTCTGAATCAATTGCTGAAACAGAGCCACTGACAAGATTAGCTTAGTAGAGCTCTAGAAGTGATAAATTTTCTTGATGGCACTTATTTTCACTAATTAGTATCAAGACTGTTATCAAAAATTATTACTTTTTGACATACAAGTGCTGGCCTTCCAATTTTGAATGGGGGGACAGAGGTGGAGATTCTTCTGGTTAAAGTTGGCCAGGTCAACATCTTTATTAGCTTTATATCAATTGCTCTTCTTCAGAGCTTATTCTTTTAATGCAGTCTTGTGCTGCTCCTCTCCAGCTGTATAAAATAGACATGCATGGGGAAAACTAACATCTTGTCAGTAAATAATATGTGCCAGAGCAGTATTCTGCAAGCACTCATCTCTTAACACAACCCATTTTGTCACAGTATATGTTTATTGTACACATGAACATTGAAGTGCAGTAAATAAAAAGATGGTGGAGAGGAAGAGAGAAAGAAGAATTCATCAATATTAGCTCTGAAGAGAAAAAAGAAGAAGAGAAAGAGAAAGAGAAGAGAAGAGAGACTAATCTGATATTATTATTCTATAGCCAGCATAGCAACAATGTGTTAATCTTGCCCATAGCAACATGCCTGTAGAATATAAACAATGTATATAGTAATCATTCTACAGTACTTGGTCAATACACTCTATAATCTCATTATCCTGTAGCCAGCATAGTAATAATACATTAAGCTTGCCTATAGCAACATGCCTATAGAATGTAAACAATGTGTATAGTAACTATTCTATGCAAGTACTTGATTAATATACTCTATAATCTTATTATTCTGTAGCCAGCAATTCAGCTCATTACATACAATTATGAAGATGGAGCCAAAACAATATTCAATAAGAGAGAAGATCTATATGGCACAGAAGCACTGCCAGACCTTGAAAGATTATTAAAAAGATATATTCAAGACAGAAGAGATGAATTATAAGGCATGTCATAATATACTGAAGAGAATTCAAGCAAAACATGAGTAGTATATACTCTCAGTAGTTTGTGTTGAATTATATTGACATCCATTGCAGGCAGAATAGCAGCAAGAAGAATTGCAAGATAATTGAAGATAAAGCTATTAAAGAGTTGATAATCAAGTGATTTATCAAGAGCAAGTTAAAGAAGTATCATAAGCACCAGCTTATGGTCTCTCAGTAAAAGAAGAGAAAGAAAGAGAAGAAGTATTGCTGAGAAGAGATTACAGAGACTGAGAATAAAGCTCAGCAGAAAAAGAAGATAGAATTCAAAAGTAATGAAATTTGATAATAATTCTGATATATTTAGATCAAAACAAGCCAGGTGCAGCATTCTATTACTGCATGTAGAAAGGCTCAATTCTGCCAAATAATAGCCAGGCTTGAGATCAAGATCATGGCTCATGGTCATGATTATCTTGCTGTAGTTGGTGTGTTGAGAGAGAAGGTTGAGAAGAAGATAAGGGAATTCCTGAACTAATT